TCGAAGCTTTATTTTATACTATGTAAAGATAGAAACAACGTGTAGAAATTTTGCAAGCCGGTTTGTACTAAAGAATGCAAAGTCGCATGTGTACCTCAATCTCACCTATTACACTTATTACAGCCGCCAAGCTTGCTTTGTAAGCTGTGAAATGAGAGGATAAAAAGTACAATATCTTAGACCTCTGAAATGTCGAAGCAATCTCAGCTCTCTGGAATAACATCGCATGAGTCACAGGACATAAAAAAGTAAATATTATTATGACCAATTCGAATTGTTGTTGAAACAATAATATTAGAGTATGAGTAGTTACTATTTAGTTACAGATTGCATTAAATACAGATAACGATAAAATAATAAATGTGTATAAAGACGTATGTAACACGATACAAAAACACGCTAATTACCTTATGGTAATTTTTTGGTTTTTGAATTAAATGGCGTTGCCGGGTTTATACCCGTATACCAATTTAATTAAAAAACTAGTACAACTTGTACCTATTATAGATAACTTTTTTTTTATACTACTATGGTGGCAAACAAGCATACGACCCATCTGATGGTAAATGGTTACCGTAGCCTATAGACGCCTGAAACACCAGGGGTGTCACGCATTGCCGACCCTTAAGAAACCTTAATATACCCTTCTTGAAGAACCCCATGCTGTAGTCTCGTAAGAAAACCTCGGCAGGAAGTTCATTCCACAACCTAAGTGTATGCGGGAGGAAGCTCCTCTGAAACCCCACTGTCCGAGACCACTTAGATTCCAGCATGTGGGAATGAATTCTCTGTTGATGGTCTCATGTCGAACAATTGCTCAGAACACAGTCCGTTGTATAACTAGTTTTTTTTTCTTACTACTCTAATGCTGTTGGCCACAGCTTCCTTTACAGTTCCATCGGACGTTAGTTAGGGGGCGAGTGCAGATGGCACTCCAAACCCCCAGAAAGTCTTATGGAACGACTGAATACCAACTCCCGCCTGACGGATAGGACTTTAGTCTGAGGGCATCGCTAGGAGTTCAAACGGCTCAGGCCACCGCAATTTCGATCTCCGTTTGAAATAGACAGGGGATCGATCGGAGGGGGTTTAAAAATTCTTAACTTTTAACTAGTATTACGACAAAAACTTTCTTAGTACGGACTTCTTTGGTTTATGTAAGTTTATTTAAGGTAAGGTAAATTACTTTATTAATTAATCCAATTAATTAATTCGCCGTTGGATATTTAATTCAGACGGTGTTGGTCTTGTTGCTCTGATTTGAATTAACAACAGACAAAGTGATTATCCACTTAATCGCTGTATTTGTTTTCTGTTAATTTTAACGCAAAGAGAGCGGTGTTATAAGTTCGACGTGTCTGTTTGTCTGTGGCTAGGAGATACGATATCTCCTAAACGAATGGACTAATTATTAGGGTTTTTTTATTGAAAACAAATTGATGTAGGTTCTTAGTTAATTTCTACATTCAAATTCTTTTTGAATGTATAATTGATGGAATACACATACAATTTTCTAGCCTATTGTATATGTTGTCATAATAATTTGTAACAATATTGTTATTTTTTTTACAAACGAACATACGAGTATGTGGCTTCGTCACGGTTTTGTAATATGTAAAGCAAAATAAAGATAAAGAAGATAAAAAGAAATGACCCCGTTTATTTTAAGAACTCGAGAATTTACAGTACAAAACACTGCATAAAAATAAAACTTTATGTACTTATATATATGTATCTACTGCTTTAAGGAAATTGGAAGCGAGTTGAAGCCGTATAATACTTGAGGGCGCCATTTTATATGAAGTTTTAATAAGAAACCACAGCTTTGGGGATGTGCACAGAATTTTTAACTGCCTTAAAAAACTAGGCTCGTTTTCAACTTGACTGCTTTTATATTTTTGATATAACTAGATTTCTTTTCATTTACATTTATTTATTTTATAATATCTCTATTGTTTATATCTATTATATATCTTCTTATATATAGCATTCTCGTGTTTCAATGTTAGTTACCATACTCCGAAACGGCTAGACCGATTTTGTTTTGATGAAATTTTATATGCATATTCGTAGATCTGAGAATTAGCTACTATATACTTTTCATACCAATAAGTTATAATGGTCGTCCACCCCTAACATTTTTGTTTTTTTTGTTGAACAATTTTTTTTTTATTATTATTACGATTTGACATTAAAAAATAGATACAACCGATTTTAATTTATATGGCAAAACAACGTTTGCGGAGTCGGCTAGTTTTTTATAAAAATCAACTAGGTATAGGATTCCTTGGTGGTGATTTGGTGACTTGGTAGTCTAGTGGTTTAGCACATCACTTTACATCCGATGGTGGCGGGTTCCTCGCGCGGTGCAGACATTCGTATCCATAAGTATAATTGCTTGTATAGGTCTGGATATTTACTATATATTTTATGTATGTATTTACGAAAAAATGAACTCAAGCATGTTAATTCTGCTTAGCTTACACAAGCTCTGCTTAGCTTGGGACTAGATATATTAGTAAGGTGTAATATATATCTACCATAAGTAGTTTTTTTAACTACTAGGCCCACATGAGTAGGTACTCTACCTTTTATAACTACTTTAGTTATAAAAGGTGTTATAAATTATTGATATTAGATATATGTTTTACATAAAAAAGTGTGTATAATAAAATCCTTCTCTCATTACTGTTTCATCGGATTCCCAAAGTAAACATTCTATATTCATAACTGAAACATAACAGGCGCAAGTTGCCGCAGCCGTCTTAATTATCGTCGAATAATAAAGAACGAAAAAGCATTACTAACTTTTTCGGGGTCGGTTTAAATATTCATGCACCCTCCGAAACGTAACGGTCCTCCTGAACAGGAAAAATGGTCCGCCCGTGACGCGGCCTGATATTTTATACAATACGCCAGCGGTTCCCAAAGTTGACTGCCCCGCGACATATTAGAAAAACAAGCTATTCGGTGTTGAGATGTAAAATTTTATTGTTTGCTAACAATCGTTACTAAATAACTAACACTTTTTCATTTTCTGTATGTGAGATTACAAACCTCAATACGAATAACCTAATAACTACTTCCAACTTTGGCACGCATTTCCAGAGGTATTATTCTACTCAAGAAGAGAAATATATTTATTAGGCAAGATAGACTTTGTTCAAATTCTGCTTAGTTCGAATACATCAGAGGAAATATGAAAGTGGCACCGATGTCGGAGTGGTTAAAGAGTAATCGTCTATCGTCTGGTATGGGCATGTAATGCGTAGGAATGAAGATCATATCCTAATGACGGTGTTACATATGAATGTGGATGGTTATAAGGGTAGAGGAAGACCGAAAAAGAGATGGATGGACTGTGTGAAAGATGATATGGCGAGAAAGGGAGTAAATAACGGGATGACTGCGAACAGAGATGAATGGAAGAGAAAAACATATTACGCCGACCCCAAATAAATGGGATAAGGAAGAAGCAGATGATGATGAGACTTTGTTCAAAGTCATCTCCAAGGATACCTATATTGGGCTATTGTGCTTTCCGCTATTTTTCTATTGAGCTATCCGCTATTTGAGCTACAACTTTAAAATTTAGGACACTGTTCTAGAGCAGGTAATACAGAACTTTACTGTACAAGATAGACTTTATACAAAGTCGTCTATCTATTATATCCCTTTCTATTTGAACCGTCAAGCAGCTTGCTTTGTAAACTATATTTCGGGTGAAGAGTGAAATACGATAGTGAAATTACATAGAAAAAGCATGACATCTTAGTCCTCCAGAATGGCAACACTTGAGCGGTATCACCGGCGTTCCTTGTTCACGTAACGGCCGTGGTGCTATTCATGTAGATGAAGGTTACCATCAAAACAACAGTATGCCTGACTACCACCAGTGCGACATAAAATTATGTAGAAATCAGTTTTTTTACTATTGCAGTAACAAAATAATTCTTACATCAAACTGCTAATTAACTTCGCGATTTTGTACATCTGTCCTTATATTTTCATCAAAAGCCGTCCTCATTTTTTGCCACAAAAGAAAAAATAGAGTTCTTAACATGTTAAAGACCGCTTGCCTTGCTTAAATTTACACATTGAGATCGGGAGATCACCCGTGGTCGCTTTAAATGATATAAATCTTGGGGTTAAATAATGTTCACCTCAAATTATTGTACACTAAAAACATGTTTAAAAAATAATATACCTACGTAATTAACAGTAAAAAAAATGTCGGTGCCTGTGTGAGAAATAAGATTTTTGAATCCGGTCTTCAATGTGTTAAAGAAGTTATCAATGCATCGTGCGTGAACTACAGTTTGAGAAGCACTGCAATACAACATAAAAGCAATTCTGTTATAATTATACCGAACGGATGACGAGCGAGTTTTGTATTGCAAACAAAAGAAATACTGATTATTTATTTAGACAATGAGGGGACTTTATTGTTTATAGAAAAACAATAATGTAGGTAATGAAGTTTTTGTAAATATTGCTTTTTTAGTGGATGATAATGGTATGCTACCATCCAGCGGTAGATTAAATGAAAATAACTGATGATTATTCAAAAGTGCTTCATGTAAGTTTATCTCAGTATATTGATTTTCTATTCTATTCTATTTCTACTGACTTAAAATAATATAAAAAGATACCACTTGAGTTTCTTATTAATTCTTCTCAAATGAAGTGACTTGACGAATTGAACGATATATCCGAATGAAATATTTTTTTGTGATGACAAAAATGATATTTTATTTCTTGCATGTTTTAGTGTTGTCTCTGAGTTTTAGTGTTAGTATAAATAATTAATTACAATTAATATTTTTTAGTTATATATTTTTTTTAAATTTGTTTTTATTATTACTTTAGATTGCTAGCTAGTACAGTTAATACAGTTAGAACTCCAAATTGGGTAAAGACACCCACGAAGTAAGCCATTTCTGTGTATTTTTGCCATTAATATCCCGTACAATTATTTTCTAATGTATAATTAAACTAACCTCGTTATCTTTGTCGGCGTCTTTGATATGCTGAGCTATGAAGCGGACGCTTTGCAGCGCCGCAGCTACCTCCGGAGATAGATGCCGAGGTAGCATATTCTCCGATTCAGTCACTAGAACAAACAGCTACGATGAATAAACGCATTTACTTTTTTATGGTACTAAAATGGCAAAAAGTCTATTGGTTCACCAGATGGAAAATGATACTTAACCGTTGGTTATGAAGGAAACGGACTAATAGCAGATTTTCTATATCGACCTGGTTTACTGAACCTTTACACTGTCCTCCTTTGAAACTCGTTTCCAATTATCTTATTGACGAATTTGCCACTTCAGTGTCAAATCAAAACACTCTCTTGGTAAATAAATGTAAAATTTATGTATAACCTGAAGGCCTTTGATGGGCACTAGCAGATAGGATGTCATCTTCAGGCGCTGGGGATTTGCGGTAGTCTCCATTCTCGCCACCCTTTGCGTCACCAAATGCATCAGTAAGACTGTCCCTGCTAAAAACAAAATGTAATTCTCACATATAAAATTCTTATCTCACAGTCTTTGTCAGAACTCCTCCTAAACGATTTGACAAATCTTTATGAAATCAAAAAATTGAATTAAAAAAATCTTTCATTTTTGGTGATTATTTAGTAGGTCTGAAAATAAGTCCTTGTTAATTTTTTATACTCTTAAGTGATAAAGGTGAAAAAAATCATTAGGATAGTTTATATAGTAGGTAAAATAATGTTTGTTCCATAGATTTTTTTACTTTTAATAAATTTTACATGACATTATTAAAAATATTTTTCCATATACAGACAAAACATGTATATGTTATGTATGTCCACGATATTCTCAATAAGTATTGAACAGATTTTCATAGAGTTTATACCTATCAACAGAACGATTCCTGAGGCAAGATTACTTGTGTTCGTTAAGCTTTTGTATAAATGAATTAAAACATTTGTACTAAATCGAAGGGTACAATTTAAGTATTATATACTGCACTATTTAAATTATTATAGAAAATCAACGCTGTTGTCAAATGATATTCCTACGATGCACCAGCAAATTAATGGATGTTCCGGTATTATCTGAGTTTAACCGGATTTAATTGGATCCAACTGGAACGGTACAAGGCACTGGCTTTTGTTCGGGTAATGTGAGCTCAATATGAAATGCATTCAGCTCTTTGATGCATAGTTTAGGTTCGAGCAGAGGCATTTAACACTACGCTTAACAAATCCTACATTTTCCACTTAATAACTGCAGATGTGTAATGTAACATTAAGTAATATATATGTACATGTTACAGATGACCGAGACAGTGCTAATGAAAGAAAGGGAGACAGCGTCGTAGATGGGAAGATGATATTAAAAAAAACCATATCTAGAAAAGATAAGCGCAGAATCGCATTCGGTGGCGAATTCTATCTAGTATTATGTCAATACGTGAAGGAAAACCTTTTTACGAAAATTGCGAGTATGAAATTTCGAACACTTGCAGTTAATATAGAGGAAGAGTGCAGAATGCTAATTTTTTTTTTAATTATGCAAAAAATACATTTAGTCAATAAAAAAAACATTACACACACTGCCATGTACTTGACACACATATATATGTTTACTTGTTACTGCTGGTTCAAGATCTTTTTGTATTTTTTATTACGATCGAATTTCGACCACTGGGCGATTAGTTTATATAAAAACAGCGATTATATAAAAAGAACAAGTTACAAATGAAATTATTTTTTTATCTAACCTCATTTCCAATTCATTTGTGTAGCCATTCGACACGAAGGTATCATCGTAGTCTGGCAGCGAGTACTTGGTCCTTCTCATCATGAGGAGCTTCGGCATCAGCTGCAGGAACAATTTCTTCATCCATGGTGACATTGTATGAGTGGACGGAGACCTAAAGAATAAAGGACACTTTATTACCTGTTGCAAGCAGCTTGAACAATTTTTTTTATACATATATCATTAATTTTATTTGATGTATTATTAATATTCATTTTTATATACTTTTTTTTACTTATATAGTTTTGCGTTTTCTATGTGACGGACAATTATTATATTCTCAACAGTATTTTTTTAAGACTTTAATTTAATTTATTATGAATTTGTTTCCAGTGTATATTTATATATAAGTTCTAGGTTGACTTGAATGTGCTACAATGGACGAGGTTATGTAAACATAACAATAAAGACCAATCTCTCTTCTTAGTAATTGAAGAACGAGTAGGTAGTTATCCATCTATGTACACATTCTTACTTTACTGTATAACAGTATAGACAAAACAAAGAGAGAGAATGTCACTAAAGTCAGTCATAGAAACGACGTAACTGTGAATAAAATTTTTAATTTTTAATAAGTTAATATTTTAAGTGTCATATAAATATTATAAAGTGTGTTTTGCTGTTACCTTTGCTGTTGCACAAATAAACAACTAAAAGGATCTTAATGGAAATTGACATGAAAATAAATTGTTTATCTATCACGGAGTTTATATATATCTATCTATCTAAGAGAAAAGAGAGTATAAAATCTCAAAAAATCACGGATGTTAATTACCTATGTTCTACGATTTTTTTAATTTATTATCATTGCCTGATTTTATCCCATTATTTGAAGTATATCAATCTTTCCCACTGATCCCTATTGGCCGTCATATCTGAGCATACTCTCATTTTATTCATATCCTCCTTCACACAATCCATCCATCTTTTGTTGGTCGTTAAAAATTATTAAGTCGCAGTTTGCTGTACAGTTAGTACATATATTAATTTTTAAACTCGCCATTAACAAAACACATAACAATCTTATTACAATTAAACACTTAATAGATAATAACTTGACAACTGCTTCGCAAACGAGCTCGTTAACAAAACATTAAACATACGCACTCACAATCGTTCAAGTATTCATTTCATTACAAGCTGTTAATCTTGTCGTTTTCGTCAACGTGTTAATTAAAGTTAATTTTAACGTTAATTAGCGAATAAGTCTTCCAGTCGCGTTTGCCTGATTACAAAGGGTTCCGCTATTAATATTGTTTATAGAGTCAGCTGCACAATCTAGGCTATATTTATTATATTAGCTGTGATTTAAGTATATTTTAATAATGACAAATTAAAAATACAAATACAAAAATATAGTCCATGAGCCCGTAAATCCTGTAAATTTATTGGATGGTGACTGCAAAAAGTCGATTCACCTCTTTCAGCCGCCAAGCAGCTTTGTAAACTATGTAATTGTAGGGTGCGTTTAGCATATGAAGTAAGTAAGGGTGATAACATTTCAGCAGTGGACGTCTTCCGGGCTGAGATGATGATGATAACATTTAGTCTTCGGGAGTGACAACGCATGACTGTCAAGTAACGTGCCATCCGTCGTGTTTATTAAAGAACTATTCTAATGCTGTTGGCCTGTACCACGTCTGGTTGACCGCCACGCGGAAAGGGAATCTGGAAATCACTATGATAAATTCCAGGTAAATTTCTCACGATGGGCTAACTGACCTGACCGTATGCTTATCTCATCAGCCTCCACTTGTGTCCTGCCAGCGTAAACGTTAGCGCGGGTAGGAATACCATTCCATTAAAAAAAATGCTGTAGGCCACAGCTGGCCTTTACAACTTCACCGAACGAGGGGGGCGAGTGCAGTCCAAATCCTAGGAAGTACTTATGGAGCGACTAAAGCCAACTAACGCCTGATGGGTGTTTTTTTCTGAGTACTCTAACGTTGGCCCTAGCTGGTCTTTACAGCTTCACCTGACGATAGGGAGCGCGTGCAGATGGTAACCCAAACCCGCGGAAGAACTTGTGCATCGACTGAAAGCCAACTCCTGCCTTACAAATACGACCTTAGTCTGAGGGATTCGAACCTCGACTTAAGCCGTCGTATTTTCGAACCCTGTTTGAATTAAACGAGAGATGAATCGGAAGGAGGCAAACATGTTGGTACCCTACTTGATGGTAAACGACAATGCGTGCAGATGGCACTCCAGCGCGGAAGGACTTATAGAGCGACTGAAGTCCAACTGTCTGACGGATCTATTCATGTACGAGTATGTACTCGTATATATAAACGACGATTAGGTATCTCCTTCCATCAGATTATTTAGAAATACATTTATATTTGCTACCTCCGCTTTTTTAAAACGGGCTGCAAAATGTTACGGTTGAATAAACTCCAAAACTAATAAACGGTGTCCTGGACGGTATAGGGTTCCGTATAATTTTATACGCATTGTTTGGGCGAGCCGCGTGCATTCAATAATAGCATCCCCTCACTACCCCATAAGCCGTATTTCACACACTATTGTCCTATTATCGATGTGACATCGTTACAATGAACGGAAGATTTATGAGTCTGTTTGGCTATTTTACAGGTCAGCTATTTCATTATGAGGGTATTTTTTTCGACTATAATGTTCAATGACTACGGTCAAGTGATTACATATTTATATAAAGTGAACTATATTTGTATTAAACTTAAATATTATAGAGAGCGACGTGGACTAATGGTGAAATACCCTAAATTACGCCCAAGAGATCCTGAGTTCAAATCTAGCCAACACCAAAAAAATAATTTGTATGTTAATTTAACTCTTCATTGAAGGGTATCGATATTAAAAAACAAACTTAATCCCAGAGTAGTCGGTAAGAGGGCATGGGGCGCCTGCCACGGTCGATTTGAAAACCAAGCGTAATATCAAGTGGTGGTGAAGGCAGTCACCACAACATCGACAATTTTAATGCCTCTGTCTACCCCATCTGACATAAGAGTCGTAACAGCATATTTTTATGTTTTTATGTAATATTGTTATGACGTCACCTATTTCGAAATTTCGTTTATACTATTCTGCTAAAACTCTGGAAGCAGGCTATGTATGGGTGAAAATTATGTATTACAATAGTAGAAAGGTCTAATCTTTATATACAAAAACTAGCTAGTCCCGGCAAACGTTGTTTTGCCTTAAAATAAAATAAAAATTAGGGGTGGACTACCCCTAACATTTAGGGGGATGAAAAATAGATGTTGGCCGATTCTCAGACCTACTCAATACGCTCACAAAATTTCATGAGAATCGGTCAAGCCGTTTCGGGGGAGTATGGGAACGAAAACTGTGACACAAGAATTTTATATATAAGAACATTACGTGTGACGTTGTTTGTCCGCGATGAACTCCTAAAGTACTGAACCGATTGCTAATTTAATTTACACATTGTGTGCAGTTTGTTCCAACTTGAAAGATATAGCTTACTTTATCGATATGGGATAGCTTAAATCTCAATTTATAGTCGCAATATTATTTTAATCAAGAACCTTTGACACAGCAACGCGTGGTCGGGTCTGCTACTGTATGTATACATATAATGTAGATAGGAATGCGTCACACGAAAACTTTATTTTCATTGTTTTATTTTTTTTTACACATATGTTTAATTAGATAAAAAATTCAAAATCTCTTTATTGTGGAGATCACTTAGGTTTGCTATGAGTGTGATGTGACAGTGAAATTACAACGTACGCACAACATCATACTTTTCATTAATGGTATAGCAGGATTGGTACTAGGGATTTTTACATGTTTTTTGCCATTTGGGCTTAGAGAACCGACAACTCGTTTACCCTTCAAATTAAAAAAAACTAAGCCAATACGCATTGCGGATGCAGTATTAGTCACACAGCTGTTTTCACGAAAACATGGGTGCATACTAAATTAATTATAACTACTTAAATACTGACATTAAATTAATAATTTATTGTTTAACAATTCAATAAGAGGTTAGTATGTTTTATTAGTGATATATATACACATATGATGTCATTTTATTTACAGATACTAATTACAGTTAAAAGTATTTCAGTTAGTAAATTAGTATGCTTAACATGTTTAATAGTAATAAGAGTTATATTATTTATTATTTTAAATGAGTTTTAAGATGTACTGTAAGCTGCCTGCCTCTACTTTCGTGCATTTATATTTAATTTCATTAGTAATTAAAGTAACTCTAATTGTGCTCATTGCATATTATTATTAATAACATAGAACATATTTAAACGGTATTTTAAAATTTAAAGCTTTATAATTGATGTCTGAATGATGAATATTATTGAGCATTAATAAGAACTAATGCAAACATTAAGAATACTTACCTAAAATGTACGTTGAGAACGCACACCGTCATCCATACACTGAGCGATACCAAAATCATTGTGAACAGCAAATACTTTCCTAACAACGGTATCGCCAGTGATGTCGGCGGTATTATCTCAGCCAGTAACAGGAAAAACACCGTCAGTGATACCAGGATAGAGATGCTTAATGATATCTACGAGAAAACACATATATTACCTGAAATGGACGTTAAGTATGCATACAGTGACCCATACGCTGAGCGAGACGAGTATCATCGTGAACAGTAGATATTTCCCAAGCAAAGGAATCGCCAGGGATGTTGGCGGGATGATCTCGGCCAGACCAAGGAAGAACACTGTGAGGGAGACCAGGATGGAGATGCAGAGCGATATCTAAGGGAGAGAAGTCCTTTTTGAATTAGACAATTTTGGAAAAGCTGAAATTGTCTTTCCACTTGTGTAATTGTTATGCGAAGTTGTTAGTTTTCTTGTCATTAAAGACGCATTTAAAGCTGGTAGTGATTGCTTAAGTGATTCTGAAGTGTTTAGCATGCAGCATGAAATTGTAGTTGAACGTGTAGCATTATAATGAAATGTCGTGTATAGTTTTATTTTAAAAATATACGCTTTGCTTTAAATATTAATAGTATTTATTTTATACAATTTAGTAAAGCAAAATCGCAAGAAACTGCTTCTACTGGTACAGATAACTAAGACAAGATAACTACAGGTTTTTTAACAAAATCAACGACATAAGCGTAAACTGATTAAGCTATGCAGGTTCTGAAGTTTAACAATAACAGAAATGTACAAATACCAGATTACAATAAAGAAAATTTATTGTACTATTTAAGAATCATTCAAGTGTATAAGAACACTATTGTAAATTTCTGTTAATCATGGTTTTTAAACCATTTTATAATTTAATATTTCACAAAAATAATCATTGTTACATATATGTACATTTTAAGATATCCACGCTTTTGATTTAATGATATATTAAAGTACAGTTTAATATATACTTTTTTTCTAAATGATGTCTATAGAAATAGTAGAATAATCAGCATGCAAATACTAGTATGTACCTGCATTACAATTGATTAAAGTAGTAAAAATAGGTAGTACAATAATCACAGAAAAATAGAAATATATATGTAATTTAATAGTTTTTATATGTTCTATTAAACTGTTAAGTTTAGAAGATATTGGAAAAAATTCGAATAATATAAAAAACTGTTTTTCCTAGTGAATCATAACAAAACAAATCTGCCACGACTGAATTTCAAAAAGCATGTTGGAGGCAAGACTTTGTCAATCTTGTTCCAATACATCTATTATTCATTATGAGTGCGATACACTACAATGGCACTCAGAATGAATCGTAAAATAGAAGTTAACATAGGAAATCCTGATTATATATCTTTGGCAAATTTATTTCACTATTATTTCCCGTGGAAAGACAATAATGATGAACAAACCCTTTTTAATGATACTAACACACTCACACATCTAACTAATGAATCAAAAAAGACTATTGGTAACGATGGGTGTTATAAAGGCATGGAATATGGATGGTACAATGGACTAAAGGATGGATACATACATGCCCCTAATGCACTCTATCCTGTTAAATATAGACATCGAAAGGTATCTGATCTTATGATTTATTTTAATTGCAAAACTATTACACTTATCCTAATATATGTTGTAGAATGCATATTCATTATTGATACATACCAATTGAAGTTTTAGATGAATAATACTCTTCTTTAAACGCCTATTTCTAAATTCTGTTTGTAATTGGGTTAATAAAACCAGATTGCCTTCGATGTACAGGCGTAATTTCACACATTACACTTAGCAGAACAATTGATATAAATAAGGATTTGGCTTCTGCAATTTAGACTCCACAGTACTATAAATACAATAATGATGATGTTCATAATCTGTTACCATATTTGTAAGATTACAAAGGTTTTTATTTAATGCCAAGCAATAAGGATAAGGGCACAACAGTTGTCTAATTTGCAGACTAATATTTAATGCGTTCTCCACATATCTTCTATAACAAACATAAACAAACATTAGATCATCAAAATGTTATGGATAAACATACCTTCTCACCAGAATCCGATGGCAGATAAAATACTAAAACAGTTAGAAATGTGAGACCAACGCAAGGAATAATCAAATTAACAGTATAAAATAGGGTTTTACGGCGCATTGTCAGTTTGAACGTGATGTCTGAAACAAACAACAGTGTCTAGTTAATTATAACTGTAATCAACACAGAATAATATTAACTAAATTAGATGATTAATGATTTACTTAAATAATAGTATTTAAGTAAGTAGTGTATAAGTATAAAGACCATCGAAGTCGTACATCAAGTTATAGTAACGGATGATAGAATCCAAAATTAGGAAATCCGTAGAAGATAGTTTATTTATTTATTTATTAAAGCTTACAAAAATAAAGATGCATGTGGCGGATGTAATACCTAAAGGTACACATATTTGTTTTCATGAGTATAATTGTTTGTCCGGGAGTTCTCTTCTATGTCTGTATTTACAAAAAAATGTAGTAGTCTAGTCCTTATAACACAAGCTCTTCTTAGCTAATGATCAGATAGCACTCTGTAAATAGCCTTGGATATAAAAAACATAAAAAAATATTACCAGAAAAAGGCTCTGGACAACACGGGTAATATTCCTCGTTCCTAGTAGCGGGCACTTCCAATATGTCCCATTCAACAGACAGGTAAAATTCGCTGAGGTCAATTCCTACAGGCACCAAACTGCTTCCTGGAGACTGGTCCATGTGTTTTAGGTCCACCTTATAAATACAAAGTTTAATGAAATTACGAAAAGAGTAACGCCAAACTTAGCTCGCATTTTGTATAGTGGTTTACAGTGAAATTATTGTTTTTGAACTAGACTTCATAATTATTAGAATCGTTAGTCTAAGTGCCGGTTCTGAGGTCTTCGTCATATAATGTCCCAAAGCCGAGATATAGTGTCCCAAAACTTTGAGAGCCATCAGGTGCAACACGCGGCGTACATTCCATAACGCATGACCCGCTCCCAAAATAGGTTTGTCAATAAAATGTCGTTTCCGGAGATACCTCAGTATCTCCTACTTCTACTTGCTTTGTAATCTTGAAATAATGCAGTGAAATTTCAGGATATGGTTGGTGTAACATTAGTCCTCTAGAAATAGCACCTCATGACGGATATTAACTTCGTATAATGTCTATGGTGCAATGCATTTATTATATAGGCTTACCATCTGATGTGCCGTTATTTTGTTTTCTAAAGAAATATAAAGATACTGAGCTAATACCTGAGCACCATTGTAAGTCCAAGAACCAAACTTCATGAAACAAGTTTGTTCGTCAAACGGAAAGTACTCTACGTTGATTTCACAAGACGACTTGTAAATAGCTGGGGGTTTCCAGTTCACTTCCCCTGTGTACTTTAAAGTTGCCTTTGTCATGAGAGTCACCTGGAAATATATAATAATAGTTACTTTTAATAAGAAAGCTAGAGCGTCATAGTCTAATGGTTTTTAACTATAAATTATACACAAGAGGTAGTAAATTCAAAGTGGCCAACACGAAATACATACTAATAATACAATAATTGTGTGTTATCAACTGAATTTCCGGTGATGAAAAAACCAATATTAAACCAAAAATTAGAAACTCACAAAAAAAAAATTTCGTATTAAATTCCTCTTCACTTAATTACAATAGCCTAGCTGGCCTTACTATATGTCTGTACTGTCATCTTGTGTTGCAGATATGTGAATATTATTCACTACTGCCCATTAAAAAAGACTCTCTTTTGAGTACATGTCTTTTACAACTACGCATCAACTGCTATTTATGTGTTTTACTGCACTATATGTCGTCATAAAAATAGAACCAATTTTGGTCCCAAATTCAATTTCACTCACAGACTCTGTATTTATGAGTGTGAAACCGATTTGGGTATTTTCCATGTACAATATGTATGTATTTACAAACAAATGTATTTAAGTACTTATATCAGTTGTCTAGTACCCACTATAAATCAAGCTTTGCTTAGCACTAGATGGCGCTGTGTAGGTTGACCTTAGTTAATATTATTGTATTTACCTCATAATTTCCATCCCAGTTATTATAGAGGACAATATCAGGTAGCCAAATGTGTTCAGATGGCACGTACAGCATCTCGAGACCGCCGTAATCTTCGGGATTCCAAGTCAACTTATAGTCATACCATTTCTGAAATTAAAGAGATTTATATTCAGTTCTAGCATAAGCGTCACTAGATTGTCCAACTGAAGATATAAAATAACGACAAAACAAAATTATTAGAATTTTTCAATGGATGGTAATGTAATGGTGCTCGACTCCTCGATCCTATACTGGTGCCCCGCCTTCGCTAACGGTTTACGCTGGTGGGGCACCAGTAAAGGATAATAGGATGAAAATCAGGTCAGGCCAGTTAGCCCATATCGAAAAATTTACCAGAAATTTATCACGATGGTTTCCAAGGGAAACCGCGTGGAGGTCAACTTGACATTACATTGCTATTAATGGGGTTATTAGTCCACATTACTAACAATCCCTTTCCCCCCAATTATTGGTATTAAATCATAACGTAACTATTAAAGATATAAAATAAAATATTTAAATTTTGTTTAATAGTGTGTATTAAACAAAATTTAAATATTTTTATCTTTAATTTAAATTTATGTATTAAACAAAATTTAAATATTTTATTTTATATCTTTAATTTCCACGTTACGGGCTCGCCTATCATATTGCGTATATTTTAATTTTTTGCTACAATGATGCAAATTTATCACGATGGTTTCCAGGAGGAACAGCGTGGAGGTCAACCTGACATTACATTGCTATCAATGGGGTTATTAGTCCACATTACTAATAATCACCCTCCCTCCAATTATTGATATTAAGCACGATTATAATGTGTATTAAAAAAGTTAAAATTTTGTACAATACAAAATATCTTTGATTTCCACGTGACGGGCTCGCCTTCCATCTTTCGAATATTTTAATTTTTTGCTTATGCTACAATGGTGCAAATAAGTATACATACATGTGTTATTAAATCATATCTTAAGGAAGGTATTACATATGAATGTAAATGGTTATAAGGGCAGAGGAAGACCGAAAAAGAGATGGGTGGACTCTGTGAAAGATGATATGGTAAGAAAAAGATTAAATAATGAGATAACTGCGAATATGGATAAATGGAAGAGAAACACATATTACGCCGACCCCAAATAAATGGGATAAGGAACAAGCAGATGATAACATGTGCACTGATTTTAAAAAAAATACCGAAGTCTATGGAGTGTACTTACTTGTTCAACCCATAGATTCGTCGTCATGACCTGATTCTTCAAATTGACTTCCATCAGCTGTGACAATTTGAGACCGAGTCGGACGGTGAGTATGTCGGTAACATTGGTGACAGGCCGTATTAATCTGTTGTAGTTGCTCAATAAATCGTCATATAGCCGTTTCACATCTGGATTTGCTTCTAATAGCTTTACACCTGGAGATGACAAGTAATAATAATAATAACCGTGGACAATTCTAGTCCGAAACTCAGCAAAGCTTGTGTTATGGGTACTAGACAATAGATATAAATACATGGATATATTTTTTTTTTTGTAAATACATAGGTATTATAATGTAAACGTACGTAAACAACCAGACCGATACAAACAATCATAGTCGTGAATACAAATATTTGTACCATGCGAGGAGTCGAACCCGCGATTTCCGGATAATAAGCTTTTTAACGTTGCAGGCGATTCAATTAAAAAGTTAAAGCTTTGTGTTGATAGTTCAATTGTATTAGAAAACATATAACTAATGAATAAAAATATTATAAAATATTAATAATGTGAAAATATTAAGAATTAGGTTTTTTTTGTAATATAATATATACTGTCGCCGATACTATACTTTTTATTTAAACTTATCACTTTTTTTATTTATTTTTATAACAACTCCATACATTATACATTCCCAACAATTCTATACATTACCGAAAATATGAGATAAATATATTTCTGTTTTGTAATAAAATTAATAATTTAAATTAATTATTTTAATGAATTTGAATTTTATTAAAATAATGAATACACAGTCTCAATCGTCAATCATAAATACAAAATATTTTAAAGTGTGGGGATTGAACCCGCGATCTCTGCAACATGCGGAAATACACCATCTAGGTCATAAATATGCTCAGAAACATATTCGTTTCCATTATCCAATTTATTTAAATAGAATAAATAATTTTCTTAACATATTCTTAGTTTATTAGAACTAGGAATAATAGAATCATAAGAGCAGTCAAAAATTATCACTATTTAGTTCTTTTATTATTTATTTTTCTAATTTTTATTGCACCACATTTAAAAAAAATAAGAGCTAACACGAATGTGAGATAAGGTGTTCCGGAAAGGTTAAACCGTAGTGCTTAACTACTAAGTAATAGCTAATTATTAATTGTTTATCTGTATGATATATTCTATAAATAATTTATAATATATTGAATACTTACAGAAACAATTCCTGGTGTAGGTCAAAAGTAACCACACAATTCCTAATTTCATTTTGGCACTGTTTAGTATTTAATTCTTTATCATTTCAGTATATCATGTTTACAATGACAGGATGCTGTGCATCGAGAAAAAGTGAATTTGCGCATGCGTGATCAATAAAATACCTAAACAAATATATATATATGGTAAGATACGCCCATTGCATTGCGAATTTGGGAGATTCATGCATACGTAGCGATTCGTAGACGTGCTACGAAGGACTATTAAGTTCTAAAATAATGCCATAGATGGCGTTATTACTGAAAATAAATATTCTAGTCTGTTGATTAAGATGTATTTTGTTATAGGAAAAAATAAAAGCCTGGAGTAATAAAAAAATACTTTATTGTCTAAACAATAATTGATAACTTTCAGAAATAATAGGAACTTATACATATGTTGGTATTTATAGCATAAATCTAAATCGGTATAAAGAATAAAAAGATGTGCGAGAAAACTATTATTGGGGAACTTTATCAACATAATAAAACTCAAAACAATGATTACTTACATGTTTGTCTGTCTGTGCATTGATGTGCGACAATCTAAAACGTGGTAACCGAGTAGTGGTAACTGGGTACATATTTATAGTTACACATACATATACAATAAATTTACAATATAATAACTATACATACTACAACCCTGTTTAAAGTGTGTGACAATTTTGTAGATAACTAGTGTGGAATGACACTAGTTTCAAAAGCTTTTCTTTTACAACTGTATTGTAGTAAACTTAATACAAATCTTTGCGTGTATTTTATTTCAATCGTTTTACAAACAATAAAGTTATTTATAATAAATACATAACTATATAAAAATACCTTAAATAGTATATGTCATTTATTTATAATGAATAATTATAGAGTTTTTCTCTTTAAAATCAAATCAACTAATCACTAGGTACAAAATTTTGTAAATTTAACTTGAGCACGCATGAGATGCAGGTTAAAAAAGTACAATTGTAAAATAATAATTAACGAAGAAATTAATACACATGTTTATTATTAATTAATAGTAACAATTTTCCTGGTGAGATTGTCATGAGAGGCTAACTGACCTGACTATCTGTCTTCATTCTCATCTTATCATCCTCCACTGGTGCCCTACCAAGGTATACTGTTATCGCAGGCGGGTATACCTACCATTCCATTATCACCCATGAAAGATATATCCAATGTCATGTGTAATTGTTTTCAAAATTAATGTATTGTTGTTTCAAAAAATTCACACCCTGCACATTAGAAATAGAACACAGCACAGAAGAAATATTCTATTTGCAAATGTTAGCCGTGGTCACATGTGACAAAGGCGACACTACCGCCGGCTCTCGGATGAAATTTTAAGATTAGTTCTCGGTATTGCCATCACAAGAAAGTCCCATTCCCATAAAAGACCCATTGACTTTTCTAAACGATACTTAGGAACAGCAAATTTGTTTTTATATCTAGTATTAATGTTACATTAAAAAAAATATATTCAAGGTTTTTACCTAAAAATCGGTTAAAACGGGATACCTATAAGGCTAGAGAACTCAATTAAGTCAATATACAAGATTTTTGACTTCTTTGTACGAGGGTTAAATGCTTTTTTAAGGTTGGCAACCCTGCTTAAAGAAAGAAATTATCTCACAGTATCCCTAATTAAATTTAGCATCTATATCCAAAACCAACTCTTATCCTGCTTCGCTTGTTCTTGTAAACGTCGTCTGTTGTGGAATGTTTCGTGAGATTCCATCTCCACGGCTGAAAAAATGTAGAAAGAAACATATCTGATTAAAAAGTTATTCCAATTGCAAAATGCTGACCTAAAAGTAGATGTCTTAGGGACGAATAAAATAACTTTTTAAAAAATGTCTCAAAGTAGTAAACGAAGTTGCGAGTCATTGCTAGTTATTACCTCATTCCTTTGAGTTGTTTGTATGGATAGTCCATAAAAATACGTCATACAACTTTCATAAGTTTGTCACAGCTAGTCATACTTGTCAGATTCCATGGGAAGAGCCCAAGGTTGTAAGTAATGGGGATTAGGTCACTAATCCCCATATATAACTTAATAAACACTAGAATAACTGACCTAACATCATTGTCATCGTATCATCCTCCACTGGAGTCTCGCCAGCGTATAACGTCAAGGCAGACGGGTGTGGTATTCCTTTATCATTAATTAAAAAAACACTCCAGACTAATGTTTCGCCTCTTAACCTGTAATTTCTCTGCCTAATCTACATCTTGCGACCGAACAAATTACAGAGTAAACTGCTTGGCGGCTGAAATAGGTGAGACTGAATTTTGCACGCAGACTCACCTTATCTTTTACAGTTTAGGTAAAGTATCGTATGAGATCTAACAAGAGGACAGATAACTAATAACTAGCTGTGTCCGCGGTTTCACCTACGTGATTTTTATAGCCTATGTGCTATTCTGATGTAGGTATATGATAGTATTTTAAAGTTTCATTAAAATCCATTCAGTAATTTTTACCAGAAAGACAAACCATCGAGCTTTTCATCCATCTATGCACAACTACAAACTTCTATTTTTATAATATTCATATATAACTAGCTGTCCCGGCAAACGTTGTTTTGCCTTAAAATAGAAAATAAAAATTTAGGGATGGACTACCCCTAACATTTAGGGGGATGTAAAATAGATGTTGGCAGATTCTCAGACCTATTCAATACGCTCACAAAATTTCATGAGAATCGGTCAAGCCGTCAAGGACACGAGAATTTTATATATAAGATATATTATGTTATCTGTGATATTAGTAAGATTCAATACCTTTAACTGGATATAACGGCCACAAACTAAACGGATAGTATCCAGCCCGTAACCTTCTAACTAGTATTGTAGTTTTCTCTTGCACCATTTTGGGTTCTGAAAATAAATCATTACGTTTATAAGTCATTTAAAAACATTCAATTTTCGCGAAGGCTGCGCAGATAGAGCGATATATCATAAGCATATTAATAATAATAATCCAGGGTAATTCACACAGCGCCATCTAGTTTCAAGCTAAGCAGAGCTTCTGTCATGGGAACTAACAACCGACTTATGTAAATGCTTAAATACATTTTTACACATATATAATATACTGACATCGGGGGGAAAGGGACTTTGTAATGTAAACTGCTAACCCCATTGAGATTGAGATTCCCCCTAGAAACAATTGTAATAAATTCCTGGATAATTTGTGACGCCCGAACTGACCTGACCTCATCGCCATCCGTCCGTCCGTAGAGCGCAGTGATGGCTGGCTCATCCGTCATACTCGTGAACGGGTGCTGCTTGTAGGGACCGGTCTGCTCTAATCACTATGACTGATTTCCTCTTATTAATTGTTTAACCAGTTGGTTATATATTCAATATTTTTTCTATTTGAGTATTTAATTGAATTAGTGCTAATTCGTGGTTTGTATTTCACACACTTAAACTTAAAAATGTAAAGTAATAATAAAATTATTTAAAAGAGCAACACGCAAGTTTCTTGCTCGTTCTTCTTGTGATGAGACAGCTTTCCAACCGAGCGGTAAATTAAAAAAAAATGTAATGACTATTCAAAAGTGCTTCAATGTAAGTTTATTTGAATAAATGATTTTCTATTGTATTCTATTCCTAATATCCTCCACTGGTCCTTGGTCAGCGTAAACCGTTAGCGCAGGCAGGTGCAACATTCCATTATAATAATCCATTAAAGAGAAATATACTAACATAAAGTACGTTTAGATATACTTTTTTTATTAATTTTAAAAAACTTAATCAAATTAATTTTAAAAATAATTACACGCATTACCTTGTTTTCGACACATACATACCTAATTAAATGAAAATGAATGAATTTCCAGGACAGTAATTTATCAGAAAAACAAGATGTCTGCCGCCTAGTTGTATAAACAGTCGTTAATAAAAAAGTAACAGACCAACAGACAGACATACCTTCGAAATCATAATATTAATATAATAAGGAAGCCTGTAAATAAAACATACGCTTGTCCGTTGTAAACAAGGAAGTGTTAGGGCGGTAATCGAATCCACTTCCTCATCTAAAACTAGGAAGACATCGAAGGTATCAATGTCAAAGTCGTTATAATGTGTGGAATATTTGTAGCAGTTTCAAGTATGAATAATGAACGCGTATTACATGTCTGATGTACCTATAAATATAGGTATGATTTACACATAGAATAAAAATGTACCTGAACGCTATGTTCATGGAAGATATACGAGAACAACTATTATTAGTAGACTTTATCATCGAAATAGAATGTCTGTCTGTACGTACATTATAACTATGTAACTAGCCCCAGAAACTCTTACTATCGAATTTCTCGGCTTGTTCTATACTTCTATACACGCACGTATTATATATATAAACCTTCCTCTTGAATCACTCTATCTATTAATGAAAACTGCATTAAAATCCGTTGCGTAAAGAAGTATCTATATCAGTTGTCATGTACCCATAAAATAAGCTCCGCTTTGCTTTGAACTAGTATAATTACACATGAACTAGTATAATTACACATCTAAATATTTTAATCATCAGCTTAAAAAATAAGTTTCAAGCTTCTAACTTAAAAATGACGATTCTTCCGTATGTTATCTCCTCTTTCAACCCCTTACAACACTTTTTTCTTTTTATATATTAGTCAACAGACTAAAAAATAAGTTTCAAGCTTCTAGCTTTAAAAATTGCTAAACTCCCATATAACCCTTCATCTCCCCTTTCAACCCCTTACAACACTTTTTTCTTTTTATATATTAGTCAACAGACTAAAAAATAAGTTTCAAGCTTCTAGCTTCAGAAATGACGAATTTCCATATAGAATTCCATACAACTCAATCAGCAGCCTAAAAAATAAGTTTCAAGCTTCTAGCTTTAAAAATTGCTATACTCCCATATAACCCTTCATCTCCCCTGTCAACCCCTTACTACTCTTTTCGCATTAAAAAGTAGCCTATATGCATTCTTAAGATCTAGAATATCTGTGTACCAAATTTCATTCAACTCGGTCCAGTAGTTTTGGTGTGAAAGCGAGACAGACAGAGTTACTTTCGCATTTATAATATTAGTAAGAACTCCTGGTGATTGCAACCCACAGCAATAAGGAATCGACTGAGAATAGCCAAGGGTTAAATTGCGTATACGTATCTCGGCTTTATTCTTTAATCGATGTACACAATTGTAGTAGGTAAGTGTAACTGCAATGCACTTCCTGATTGTTGGGTAACCATTTTCCACTTAAGAGCAATATGCATGGAAATATGAAACGATTTAAAACCTATATTAGCATGTCAGAGCAGATTTTTATGTAATTTACTCGTTTTATAATCATCACTCATGAATAAATACATTAACCTACCATTTTGTTCCTACTTTTTATATAATTACTCTGAACTTTATAGTATATGTATTGTGTGTTTATATATAACTAGCTACCCACCCCGGCTTCGCACGGGTGTACATGTATTATACAGATGAACTTTCCTCTTGAATCACTCTATCTATTAAAAAAACCGCTTCAAAATCCGCGTAGTTTTAAAGATTTAAGCATATATCGGGACAGACAATGACAGCGACTTAGTTTTATACTATGTAATGATGATGATGATACTAGCTGTCCCGCCCAACGTTCTTCTACCATAAAAAATATTATTCCAAAAAAAATAGAGGTAGATGCTATTAGAGTGAACTTTCGAAGTTAAATGTATTTTTCGATACTAAATAATAATAATAATAACACCCTTATGGGGAGTATGAAAGATAGAAGTTGGTGATTCTCATATCTACCTGATATGTATACAAAATTTTATAAAAATCGGTCAAGCCGTTTGGAAGGAGTATGGTAACTCACATTTTGACACGAGAATTTTATATATAAGATATATTATTTCGTTTATTTTAGAAATTTTACTATAACGTTATTGTTACACGAAGAGGTCAGTAAAATATGTTTTTATATAGTTGATAATAATTATGATTAAATAATCGTAGAGTAATCAGTCTTACAAATTATAGGCATATATCTAGTAATAATAATAATAATAATAATAATCTCAGAACAATTTACACAGCGCCATCTAGACCCAAATTAAGCTAGCTAAAGCTTGTGTTATGGGTTCTAGATACATAGATACATTTTTTTTTTCGTAAATACATACATATTATACATAGAAAATACCCAGACCGATACAAACAATCATACTCAGGAATACAAATGTTTGTGCCGTGCGAGGAGTCGAACCCGCGACCATCGGAAGTAAGGCGGTGTGCTAAACCGTTAGACCACCGAGGCCGTCGAGTAATAGGCAATATAATCTATATATGTAGGTTACAAAACAAGTAATTTAAATCTATAATGTTGTCGCGGATATAAACGAGTAGGCCACAATTCAAATATCAAAATATGGGTCAGTTTATATATTTCCTTGCCGATATACATATAAACTTAAACTTAATAAATTTTGAATTAGAATTTACACATATTATGTCGTCGATCGGTTAAACAAACAAATTACGTACATTCTATTGTCCATTTATACTTCGTTCGATAGAAACAAAGAACTACTAAAATAATAAATTACTAGAATAGATAATATTTTATTCATATAAACTTAATTTAAGCACTTTTGTATAGTCACAGTTGTCCTTCTTTTAATCTACTGTTCATTTGGAAAGCTGTCTCATCACAAGAAGAACGAGCAAAAAACTTGCGTGTTGCTCCTTTAAATAATTGTTACAACTTTACATTTTGAAGTCGAAATGTGCGAATACAAACCACTATCACTATTTGGGGGTAAAGGGGGTTGTTAGTAATGTAGAGTAATTATCCCATTACCACCATGGAAACCATCGTCATAAATTATTGGCGAATTTGTCTCGATGGGCTAACTGACCTGACCTCATGCTCAACTTATCATCCTCCACTGGTGCCCCGCCAGTATAAACCGTTAGCGCAGGCGGGTGCACCATTCCATTATCATAAACAAAAAAAACTATCACTATTTTGTTAAAGTCAATATTATTATTATTATAAACGCGAAAGTTTGTGAGTATGGATAGATGTTTGTTACTCTTTCCCGTAAAAACAACTGAACGGATTTTGATGAAACTTTACAGTAATATAGCTTATACATCAGAATAACATATAGGGCATAAATTTCATGCGGGTAACCCAATAAAGTTAAATCATTATTTAAATTATTAACCGGGTTTTAACACGAATAATTTTATGGCAAATAAAGGTATTTACTTTTTAAACAACTTTCGTTAAACAATCTAGTGACGGTAGATGAAGAAAAAACTGCTGTCACCTATCTACATTGACATCGCTGTTACTCCAGTCAACTCGTGACCACGGTTAGTGCAACCTAGTCGAAACGTCGAGAGAGGTAAATACCTTTATTTGCCATAAAATTATTCGTGTTAAGACCCGGTTAATAATTTAAATAAAGTTAAATCAGTCGCAGTGACTAGAGCATAAGTAATTAAATTAATAATAACATTCATATTACTAATACTAGGTATATAAAAAGATGAACTTACTTGATAGACTTTTCTCAAAATCGTTTTCGTGGATTTACTTACGAGACTAATATTACCACAGATATAATAATCTTACATAGTATTACCAAACGATAACGTTGAACTCAAGTATTGTGAACCAGTTACGTCGTCCGGTCGCGGTGTCGAGTGCATTATTGTTTGTTTATAGGTCAACAGGGATATCAAAGGCGCCGCGTGGCCGTTGACACATGAGTGAGTTCACCTAGTTACAGATGTGACAGTGCTCTCAATAAACCCGCTGATTGTGACCACATATAGAACGGTTACACTCCTAACTCACTGACCTATTGACGCACTCTATACTGGGGTATAGACGTTAGTAACACAGTTTTTTTTAGAACAGAAATAATCATAAATAACGGTAGGGAAAAAATATAATATAAAAAATATTGATGTTCCTAAGCGGCTAAAATGTCTTGTATGATAATTTTTTTTTTTTAATTTGAATTTGAATCTTAAGCAAAAGTAATTATACGGTTTGTATCTTAACAGAGATTATTAAGTAAGTGATCCCGTTATTCCTTATTATTATTATTATTAATACGCGAAATAAAAACTGTGTACCCCTTTCTACGAAAATTACGCGAACAGACGAATATGATATTTCGCACACTTATAGTTTATACAGAGAAGGAGTATAGAATGCTATTATTTTTTTAATTGTGCATAAAAAATAGATCAAATCAATAGAAAAATGTAGGTGAAGAAATTCTCCCTATTTGAATTTAAAAATTAATATATATTTTTATAAGAATGTACATTAATGTACAAAGTCATTTGAAACAAAAAAGAACTGAGTTTTTGTTATCTCTTATCTCGAAAGCACTCTAACGGAAGATTTGATCATATTATAAGGATCTATATAAGATTTACATGAATAAAGATATATAGTTTGTTTTAATTTTTTTATTTATGTAACTGGATTGCAAACAATAATGTAACATCGAATACACATGTACAGCGCAACATACATCACGTTATCATGTGATACCCCTGATACCACCCATGCCTCACCGTCCTAGATGACTAAGATATTTTCTTTAAGTTTTTAATGGACGATAATAGAATGGTGCTCCCGCCTGCGCTAACGGTTTACGCCGGCAGGGCACCAGTGGAAGAATATAAGATGAACATGAGGTCAGGTCAGTTAGCCCCTGACCAATTCACCAGTAATTTATAATGATGCTTTTCATGTACATTTAAAACAATTTGGTCATTAGTCCATATTATTAATGATCCAAGAACTGGCGGAATGTTTCGCAGACCTCTATGAGTGATGAGGTTGAATCAGTGAATCAGTCATTGCATCAGTATCATCACTAAAAAACAAACATTTAAGAAATAAATTAATCACAATCATACCTTAAGCTATAATGTATGATTGTGATTAATTTATTTGTTCCCTGTGGTATCTAGGTAGTATATAGGTGGAATGATTGTACTACATTAGCAAGTTCATTTATCGTGTGCTACATTGTCTAACAAGTTATTCCTGTAATATATCTGGTGCAATGAAGAGTATAAAAAATAAAATAATGCACTCGTATTAAATGATAAACTGATTTAAAAAAAACCTGTATTGCCATTGAAAACAACTACGATGTCGTGGCTCTGATTCCCGTATTTTCGCTGCCATATCTCACCCTCCAACCAAAAACAATGCAAGCTGCTTGGTAACTGAAATAGGCGACACTATCTACGTAGACTGCACAAAATCTACTTCAGGTAAAACCATGGGTCATCCAAAAATATAGTGTGATCTAATTCTAAGTACTGAATCAATTCAACTCAAATATTACTAACTTTAGAAAATCTACTCTAAACCTTTAACTTTAAAGTCTAATTCCAAATAGAATTCAAGAGTTGTGCTAATCCAATATTATATTTATTAATAATAATAATATATATATTGTAATTCATTCATTGTCACAAATACACAGAAAGAAGAAACATAATATACAACAAGTAATAACAATAATAATGTGATATATATATACACAATATTAAGAAATATTAAAGAGAAACATGTAGCTGAGGACAAAAGGAAGAACAACAACAATAAATAGAAAAACAAAGGGAAGTTTACATTAGGTGTGCAATAGGTGAAGTTTCAAATAAACAAATGACATCTACAACAATATTGTGGAATTACCTTCCAAATAAAGTATTTCCTAAACGATACAATATTGAAAATTTCAAGAAAAATATTTACTCTTTCTTAATAAACCGGCAACGCACTTGCATTTGGTGTTATGGGTGCTCATGAGCAGCGGTAATCACTTACGACCAGATGAACCGCTAGTTTGTCTCCTATACTATTTAAGAAATACCACCTTTGTTTCACGATTTGATCGTCGCAAGTGGCGATGTTTACTTTAAGAAAAAAAGTTCATTCCTTCTTAAAAGGGATTATTCACTTAGATTTTCCCTGGTGATACGGATGACAGGCGGTAATCATCTACCATCAGGTGACCCGCAAGCTCGTTTTTTTCCTGCTATAAAAAATTCCACCCAGGGGATGGGTTCCCCTTTGTTTCACGATATTATATTGATACCGTCAAAAAAAGTGCTTATTCCTTCTTAAAAGATAAGCTACTGTCCTGCATTTCTTCTAGTTTTACGGGTGATCATGAGCACTAATCACTTACCATCTGGTGAGCTGCAAGCTCATTTTTTAATTATGCTATAAAAAGAGGAATGTGTGCTGGGATATATACTAGAAGTAAAACTTCAACGAACAACACGATACGGCTACCTCCACACGACGGTAAAGCTTTTTCATGACCGTAAAATCTCACTTGCATTTCCCCTGGTGTTACGGGTGCTCATGAGCGGCGGTAATCACTTACCATCAGGTAAACCGCAAGCTCGTTTGTTACCTATGCTATAAGAAAAAAAGAATGTGTGAACACGATATATCGGCTACATCCACGCGATAGCGCTATTTCGTGACCGAAAAATCCTAATACACTCTATTTGTATAGAAGTTTAACTTTAAAAACCCCACCTTTGTTAGGCGTTTTGATGGTCGCAGGCGGCGGTGGCACCGGTTCTCCAATCACGACCACAATAAGCGCGCACGCGCAAACAACAAACGTAATACGAGCGTGCGACATGCGTACTGTATCAATAACAACTGCCCCACAAACCCACGGCCCCAACGCCCACCAAACGGAATCATTATCATCCTTACTAATATTATAAATGCGAAAGTAACTCTGTCTGTCTGTCTGCGAACTCTGTCTGTCGCGCTTGCACGCCTAAACTACTGAACTTTAACTGAAAGGTACATAGTATAGAAAGTAGATATATAGAAGTCTAGAACCTAAGAAAGGATATAGGTTACTTTTTAATATAAAGAAGGGATGTAAGGGGTTGAAAGGGATCTCCCCTTCCAACCCCTTACATGTTAAAGGTTGTATTGAGGTATCGTCACTTTTAAAACTATATTGAAGCTTGAAACATATTTTTAGGCTATTGTTTGAATAGGGTTGAAAGGGTTGAAAGGGGAAATGAAAGGTTGTATGGTAGTATTATCATTTTTAAAGCTCGAAGCGTAGTACTTATTGTTTTTTTTTATGAATGATAATGGAATGGTACACCCGCCTGCGCTAACGGTTTACGCTGGCGGGGCACCAGTGAAGGATGATAAGATGAACATGAGGTCAGGTCAGTTAGCCAATCGTGACAAATTTACCAGGAATTTATCGCGATTGTTTCCAGGGGGAACCGCGTGGAGGTCAACCTGACATAGTACATTGCTAGTAATGGTATTATGAGTCCACGTTAGTAACAATCCCCTCCCCCCAGTACTTATTGTTTGGGTTGTTGAATTATATAAATAGATTATTTAATATAAATAGATATGACATTCAAAGTTTGTAAAAAATTTACCCTCATGGGGGTAAAATAAAATAGGGGATGAAACTATGTATGGAAATTCAATATAATTTATTTTTGAAGCTCGAACGTTGAAACGTTTTTCTTTGGGTTTTTATAATCAGCCTAAAAATGCTATGCAAAGTTACTATTCCACGAACAAAGTCACGGACACTGGTAGTATGCAAATAAAATCATAAAAGGCAATTTATCTGTGCATTGAATATTAAAAAAATGTTTACTTTTTGTCAGGGGCGAGCCAAGGTCTGGGAATGTGCCCCTAATTTTTAAAACTACCAAACGCAAAGTAGATATGATTTATGACTAAAAATAGGCCTGTAGTTACGAGTACACTGTATCCTAGGGCCCGCCACTGCTGTTTGTTTTATTTCCTTGATTTATCACATTATTAGGAGTAGGAATGCATTAATAATGTTCAATAAATCCTTCTATATACCTACTACGCCTTCTATTATATTTTATTTCTAAATTTAATATTTAAAAAAAATATGTCTGTCTTAAGCCTGATCAATATTTAACATTATATTCTGAAAAAAAATCATTCTAATTCCTCCAATCGAACAGACCAACTGACAGTTTTTTTTCGTCACGAATTTATTTTTGTTATGTATTATTTATATTTTTATGTGTATAATACGAGTCTATATTTACTATTATTAACTCTAAGAAAATTACAATACTAACAAGATGAGCAAAATAACCGGATTATTATTAATTAATTTTTACGGTTATTTATAAAAAAAAATATGTAAAGAAATAAAAATAAATAAATAAAGATACCACGGGAGAGAAACCACGGGCGCTGTTAGTCATAAATAAAGCTCCTACACGCAACGTCATGCCTACGCAGTCTGGTACGCTTGTAACAAATTTAATGGACTTAAACAGTCCCCGGTAAAATTAAAATAAAAAATATGGTTATGGGATTAAAATGCATAAAATGTTCTTACAAATAGTACAGAAACGCGTATAGAAAATGCCGAGTGTAGTCTCGATAAATTATGATCAATTGGAATGATCCTCCATAACAGCATCAAACCTTCCTACGGATCGACGTGCCCGTAGTTATCGTATGCATAATATAATTATTATTGATCTTTTCGTCCCTTGACTGTAAATTTCATTTCAAATTATATCTACACATTGGTAAACATAAAACAACACTGGCACTCAAGCATAAGTACACAGAAGTTATTAGAAAAAGAAAAAAACTGACAACTAACTCAAAAACTTGGAAAGTAGGTAATACATGTATAAACTTAATTCAAAATTACTAGTTATATTTACTTTTATGGTGGCCAAAAAATAAAGCATGAAAAAGAGACCCTCCTTTTCTAATTTAAAATTAAATTTAAGTAGAGTTCTCGAAGAAAATAAAAAATTGCATTATGAACTTCAAATAGCTACTGAAAAACAACACCAAGAAATGTCCAGAGCTATTGAGCTAAAAGAAAAACATATTAAGCTTAAAGAACAATTTCATACTGCCAAAATAGAAATATTGAAGATTAAGAAACTAGAAGCACAATTTTAATGCAACACATAATTATCTAGACTCGTATTACGGTTACAAAATAGCGTTTATGAAAAAAAAATGCATCATGTTTGTAATTACAGAATAAAAAAAATCCAGATGGAAAATGAATATTTAAAGAAACAAATAGTTAAAACAAAAAATAAACGCTGTGAAGCAAAAAATAATGCTGAAAGTCTAGCTGTAGCAAATTATTATTTAGAAAACTGTCTGCACGAAGTTTGTCTCGAGGTTCAAAATTTGAAAATGAAAATGGCTGATACAAAGGAGGCACTTTTGTAAATTGTTAAAGACTTTTTTTTTATATATATATAACTCGGCAAAGTGGAATTGATAAAGTCAAGTTTTAGAAGCTTTGGTTGCATGTCATTTAGGAATGTAGGTACTTAGTAATGTAGCTGGGTAGGTATTGTTATTTATTAATTAGGTCTTCTCTTTGAGTCATACTTTTTTACTCATGGGTAATAGACCCTGACCTACTAACAGTGAAAGAATTTTATTTAGATGATCAGTAGAACCGGAGATTACAGAACATGTCTATTCAACAATTCCGCATATCTTTCATTCAAGTATTCATCGAGTTATCTCTCAATTTTTGAATGTCATATCTAAAAATTAATTAAGAGAGTGAAAACAAATAGGGTAACTATTACCATTTACTGAGAGCTTATATAATATTTGTTTAGTTTTCAGTAAGTTCTATTTAACGGAATTAAAATATTTGATACCAACAAATTATACAGGAAATTATGATAGGAATCATAAACTTATGTATAAACAAGGATAGAAATAGTATGTACATTGCGGTAGGCTCTGAATTTCTGTAATGATCTGTGGTTGCAAGTGTTGCCACCTTATTCATTTTTGTTTAGTTGCATTTTTTGTAGGCAGAAATAATAAACTAGGACCAACATTCTTTATCCAAAATAATAAACATCATAATGATTACAGACTTTAAATATTTGAAACTTAAGTTACACATTGCCAAATTTTTTAAAATTACAATTCATTGTACTATTTAAACTAAATTAAATAATAAATAATTTTAGGCACAGGTTGTCAATATATTTCACTTGAAAACAAATGAGTAATTGTAATTTTTTTTTAACATTCGATAAACGGTTATAATGCTGTTAAGTACGAAGTTAGAGAGCTAAATTGAACTAATATTCCATGTCAGTTTTGTACATGTTAGTGTGATGTCAGTAAAAAGTGATTAAGGTTGGCAACCCTGGACTGTCAGATTAATAGCTTCTCGGCAACACATATATATATAAATATATAAAAAATAAAGTCTGTTTTTGATTTCGCTGTTTTACTTATATTTATAATTTGTATAAACGTATTCTTTTGTTTAAAGAGTATTATACATATATAGTTACAACGCTATACTTCATCTTATCTGTTATCTATAGCCCCACAGTTGTAGTAATTATAATCAAATACAAGTTAAACAATAATGCAAAGTAAGTTCAAGTGTTTTTATTGAAATAAATAGTGCCTGATGGTTATTATTACCTTACTATGTACCTACTATGATAACGATTTTAATAATGATAAAATTGGGACATACCTGTATGTATAGATTTTATATACTTAAGTTTAATATCTAAATTATTTGACTACCTACTATATTTATGTGTATATGACCTAGAAAGTAAGAATGGGAAAGATATTTACACTTTTTATATGTAGTAAAAGATGTGATTTGTAATCTATACAAACTGGTATCTGCCCAAAATCTTATGAATCAAATGCAATCAAAATCAAATTTTTCTACCGCCAAGCTTATATATCCAGAATGGCAATACAATAATAATGTAATGGCTACCAATTGCCATTAGATACCTTGTCAGATTGTTTGCCATTCCACATTAAAAAAACTTGTATCTGTATGCACTAAATCATAATAAAATAAAGTATCGGATTAGACAATAAATATATATATATATATATATATATATACATAATATTTGGGAAGTCTCTTACAGACTAAAAGATTTCTTTTGTAAGAGGTACTTTTTATACAAATTTTTCAGAGTCCTATAAAGAGTTATATTATAATTATTAATATTATAATTACAGGTAATAGAAGTCGTTCCCGTTCACCAATCAGATCACAATCCAACAATGACTCCACTAGTGATGACAGGAACTCCTTTAAAAAGAGTCACTACTTGTTTATTGCAAATTTGCCTGCTCACTGGGACCATATTAGGGTCAAGCGGTTTATTTCTGACACATGCAACTCTAATGTGAGTACTCCTATTATAAGTTCCACCACTTCTGTGGTCTAACGGTTTAATACACCACTTTATTTCTGATAGTCACAGATTCCATTTCTCATACAGTGCAAATATTTGTATTCTTTATGTATATCATGCATGTATTTACAAAAAAATAATTTAATATTAATATAAGTTGTTTAATATAATAGAAGCTACTGCTTAGTGCTGTATAAATTATAGTGAGTTATTTATTCATTAAAAAATTTACTAACAATTACATTACAGGCAATTTCACAAGCATTGAAGTATGTAACAATTTTAAAAGATTTTAAACAAAAATCTAAAGGAGAATGCTTACTGAAATTTTCAAGTCATAACGCTTGTAACATGGCTTTGCAACAACTAAAAGGTGTTGAATGTGAAGATAAGAAAATAGTTGTGATGCCAGATTCCGGTAAGAAAATATTGATTTTATTTAATTACTAGCTGTTCCCGCGACTCGTCCACATGGAATTTTATTTTATTTTTCTAAAATATAAGTAGCCTAAGTTACTCCTTATTACATCAACTACCTGCCAACAAAGTCCCGTCATATTTGGTCCAGCCATTTCAGATATTAGCTGGAATAAACAGACAGACAAAAATCGTAAAAAATGTTATTTTGGTGTATGTACCATATTTATATTCTATATCGTATATCACATGTAGTAAAAAACAGTTATTTCAATATACAAATAAAATGTGATATACGATATAGAATATAAATACGGTACATACACCAAAATAACAATTTTTGTCTGTCTGTTTGTTCCAGTTGGACAGTTGAAATGACTGGGCTGATTTTGACGGGACGTTTTTTGGCAGGTAACTGATGTAATTTGGAGTAACTTAGGCTTATATTTTAGAAAAATAAAGTTAAATTCCACGCGGACTAAGTCGCAGGAACAGCTAGTATAATATAATTTATATTGCTCTTTCCATGCATTACAACGATTTATGATTGCAGGTGAACTTTTCGAGCAACTTGACAATTCCAACAAAAATAAAAAGAAACCGGAGGCATTGTGAGTACTTTTTTTTATTAACTTATATTTTTTATATATTTATGATAACAAACACAATTTATAAATTACGTAGCAACATCTTATCACATCATATATCGGAGATAACCTTTACGTTACAAGGTCATCTTCGTGGGTTCCTTTATGGGTTCTCGCCTATTTCAGCTGCCAAGCAGCTTGCTTTGTAAGACGTGTATTGATTGAAGGTTGAGATTTGGCAGTGAAATTACAATATAAAAGGAATTAGTGACCCTATTGCTTGGAATATTGCTACCTGACATGGTTAAATGTCAGATCGACCACCACGCTGGGTCCCCTGGAAACCATCGCAATTAATTCCTGATGCCTTGCAACGGGCTAACTAACCTGACATCATTCTCATCTTAGTATCCTCCACTGCTTCCGTATATTTACCATCCATTAGAATAGAAATAATCTTTATTCAAATAGTAATATAAGCTTTATTTAACTTAATATAAGCACTTTTGAATAGTCAAGTTTTTTTTATTCTACCGTTCATTCGGAATGCAGACTCATCACAAAAAGAATGAGAATGAAACTTGTGTGTTGGTCTTTTAAATAAATATTGATTTACTTATATTTAATTAACAACAAGGATTAGGCATGCGACAATCAACATAGAAACCGCTACGCACTTTATCTCTGTTCAAGAATGTCTATGTCAAGAATAAAAAAATCTTTATTTAAATAAACTTACATTTAACAAAAATATGTAACGACTATTAAAATTTACTTTTTCATTTTAAATCTACCGCTCATTTAGAAACTGTCTGTCTCATCGCAAGAAGAATGAACAGAAATGTATGTGTTGCTGTTTAAAATAATTTAGTTGTAACTTTACATTTTTAAATTGAAATGTGTGAATATGAACTACCAACTTGCATTCATTAGAATCAAAATAATAAATAAACAACCAACTGGTTGAGTAATAAAATTAAATCAGTCGTAGTGATTAGAGCAGACCAGTCACTACAAGCAGCACTCGATAAAGCAGCCTAATTTAAAAACATAAATAAATGTATTTGTTTGTTGTAATTTATTAGAATGGACCTAGTAATCAAACGAACCAATTTACCACTCGAGATTCAAACACCAAATAACCCAAAACCTGCAGATAGGAACCAACATCAAGGGGTGCACGAAACATATGGACTTAGCTTGAATTTCTTGCAAACACTGGGTATAAAATTGCCATTGCAAAAAAGGATATTCGTACGAAATGTAAGTACTGTTATGACATCAATTAGCCTTGTTGAGAACATATGGCCTAGCGGTTTAGTACCCTGAATTACGCACAAAAGCTCGTGAGTTCAAGTCTAACTGACACCAAAAAATACTTTATTAATTTATATAGCCACGCTAGCCCCTGCACGTTTGATTAAAATAACAAAAAGTGTGTGCAACAATGCAATGATAATATAAATAGTTTTTTCTTTCTTTTTAATATATGGAGCGAAATGTGGCCAAGTTTAATAAATTTATATATATTATGACGGTATATAAGTTAAGGTAATCCGTATTTATAGCCATAAAGCAATAAACCTTCGAATCATCATTTTAGTCAGGAAGATGTCCACTGCTGAACAAAGGCCAATAGAACCTTAATAACAATTAAAATTTAATTTTAAAATTGTTGTTATAATTTTTCAGTTGCCGAGTGATATAGAAGAAGACAAGTTACGCGACCTCTTTGGCTATGCTGGCCTCATTTATGGAGTATTGATTGTGAGGCAGAACCGCGATACTGAACCGAAAGCATTCGCCAAGATCGAGTATGATCATCCAGTGGAAGCTGTGCAGGTATGAAATAAATCAAATATGTAAAAATCTCGCATCACCTGTAGCTGCCTTTATCTCAGCAGTCAGCTGCGGTGTAAACTGTACTTTGATTGGGGAATGAGATATGAGAGTGAAATTACAGGATACAGATGTTACATCTTTATTCAGGGGAAAGGAAATTTTAGCAATGAGGACTAATAACCCTAGCAATGTACCATGTCAAGTTGACCTCCATATGGCCCACCCTGGAAACAATCGTGATAAATTCACCGTGAATTTACCACGATGGGCTAACTGACCCAACCTCACACTCATCTTGTCATCCTCCACTAGTGACCCGCCAGTGTATACCGATAGCGCAGGTTGGTGCACCATTCCGTTATCATACATAAGAACATCTTAGTCCCTTGTAATGGCAAAGACTGATGGGAGTATCATGGATGTCACATGATGATGTGATCTGTTGTGCTGTTCTTCAATATATACTGACAACGGTATTCAAGTGGGCCATATTTGAATCCAATAAATGAGCCCAATGGCAATATATTGTAGATAGATAGGTAAATTCTTTATATATAAGTAGCTACTCGTCCCGGCTTCGCGCGGGTGTACATGTATTATATATATAAACCTTCTTCTTGAATCATTCTAACTATTAAAAAAACAGTTTCAAAATTCGTTGCGTAGTTTTAAAGATTCAAGCATATATAGGGACAGACAGCGACAGCAACTTTGTTTTATACTATGTAATAATGTTAGATACTATACTTTATATATACTACTAGCTACTCATCTCGGCTTCGCATGGGTGTACATGTATTATATATATAAACCTTCCTCTTGAATCATTCTATCTATTAAAAAAACCGCTTCAAAATCCGTTACGTAGTTTTAAAGATTTAAGCATACATAGGGACAGACAGCGACAGCGACTTTGTTTTATACTATGTAATGATACTATACTTTATATATACTACTAATAAATCTGCAATTTGTTACAGGCAATATCAATGTTCCACGGCCACGAATACCTGAATAAAGTACTACATGTCCAAATGGATAACAATTTAAATGGTAAATTCAACAATCTACCAAAAGAACTTAAGACTGTAGGACCAGGTTTAGGGCCCAATGGAGAACCATTAAGGTCAGTTAGGAACGCCGTAGAGTTTGAACCTCTAAAACAACTGCTAATACAAGAAATTACTAAGCTACAAAATATGAAATTGCAAGAAGGAAATTTGAACACAATGGCCATGAACCAAGCGATCCCACAAGACAACTCATTAGGTGTCATAAACAATTTGATGAATTTACAGAATCCAATGGGTACATTGAATGTAAATGCATTTAATCCACTCAATCAAGCAAATTGGGGTGGCCTCAATATGATTAGTAATCAAGGGACACAAAACTTACAAATGTTACAAGGATTACTACAACAAACTATAGGCAACGATTTATCAAGTATCCAAACACAAAGTGTGTCAAACACGATACAGAATCCGTTGACCAATCTGTCACAGACACAATGGGGTAGTAGTGTGACTCAGAATCAGTTCGGCAATATTGGACAGAGTAGCTTTGGAAATATGACTCAAAATCAATCGGATAAAATTGATTCTTTTACACAAAGAAACCAAATTAATAATAGACAGAGAGATAGAATTTCTCAAGAACGCGGTGACAGTTATGAAAAAAACTATGATAAGTTTGACATCGAGCGCCTTAGTTATGCTGACTCGAAATATTCCAAAGGTTAGTATTTCTTTAGGGCATACAATAGCTGTAGTCATATATATACTGTATATGTACTGATATATTTATTTTGTTGAACCATAAGGCGCTATCCATAAATTACCTCAGACGTTAATGGAGCAAGGTGATCGACAAAGAGTAACAGTATGTGATAAGAGGGCGTGATAGACTTAAATTTCGTAATGTTATTTTTTTAAATCTAATATATATCTAAGTATTAACCCTTTGCCTCGTAATTATGATTTAGAAAGTTAGCAAATAGTATGGATTTAGCGTAAAAGTTGAGATTTAGTGTCCTTTGTATGGTGACATACAACGCAACGGTGAAACGACTTATGTCCCTCGTACAGGGACATACGAGCGCAACGATAAAACGACTGATATCCTGTGTACGGGGACATACGAGAACAGTAAAACGAGTCATGTACCACGTACGAGGACATGCGAGCGCAACGGTAAAACGACTGATGTACCACATACGGGAAATTAGGGTCCAACGGTAAAACGACTGATGTACCACGTACGGGGACATAAGAGTGCAACGGTAAAATGACTGATGTACCACGTACGGGCACATGCGAGCGCAACGGTAAAACGACTGATGTACCACGTACGAGGACATAAGAGTGCAACGGTAAAAAGATCTTCAAGTGTTGTGTTCATGCAATGTTAGCAATTGTGATGTAATCATATATATTTTTTAATGCAAACGACTGATTTACCACGTACGGGGACATAAGAGTGCAACGGTAAAATGACTGATGTACCACGTACGGGCACATGCGAGCGCAACGGTAAAACGACTGATGTACCACGTACGAGGACATAAGAGTGCAACGGTAAAACGACTGATTTACCACGTACGGGGATATAAGAGTGCAACGGTAAAACTACTGATTTACCACGTACCGGGGACATACGAGTGCAGAAGGTTAAAACCCGATTTTTTCTAAATTAAACCGATTAACCCATCTGGGATTTATTTAATTTCAGAATCCGATTCTATGTACGGACGCACTGGAACACCAAAGAAAAGTGATGAGAGTGATATCATGTCATCGGCAATGTTACTATTCACCAATGTAAGTATTGAAATGTAAAAATTAAAAAAAAACAGCCTCTACTCGACACATTCTTTCACGAGATATTTAGCGTAGGAAAGCCAGCGGTCGACGCCTATGGTTCATGTCATTTCACTTTCTTTTTACATTGTATTTATATCACAGAGTATTTATATCACAGAGACACGTTTGATAATTTATTTATTAATAAATATATCTATGATTATATTTCCGTTACTCAGACAGAGGTCCACCATTTTGCAATGATTATTGATTATTAAAAAAGGCGCTAAAGCACGTACGGTTCTTCAATCGTACGCAGAGCGAGCTGCGACGCGGGCGGTCTTTTTGTTTACATTGTGAAAAGCCTAATCGTGCGTGAGCGTACGTATAAACGCATCTATTTTCAGATTTATAGCGCATCAGAGATGCATCACTTATGTGTAGAATTCGGGGTATTATTATTATCGCGGTATTATGTGTAGTTTATATGAATTACAATAATAAAGATATAAATTATAATTTACTAATATAGTTATTAGTTTTTTGCTAACATAATATGGATGGATATAAGAATATATAAAAAAAAATTTTAGCTACCTTCAAGTGTGACCACAAAGGCATTGTCGACCAAGATGAGTGAAGTAGGAGAAGTGACGTTCGCAGAGATGACCGGGCAGAACAGGGCCATCGTGAGGTTTACCAGTACCCGTGATGCTGAACGTTGTATTAGTATCCTTTTTAAATTTGTCATAACACACCCTGGCAGTAATTTCTGACAAGTATATAGCCTCGGTGGTGTAGTGGTTTAGCACATAGTTTAATATATTGACGGTCACAAGTTCGATTCCACGCATGATGCAAACATTTATATTCATGAATATATTTGTTAAGAGTTTTCTATGTATGTTACATTGTATTCACAAAAAAAAAGTATTCAAGTATTTTTATCAGTTGTCTTAGTACCCATAGCACAAGCTCAGCTTCATGCTCATGTTTGTGGGTGTTTTCTATGTATATATTTAAAAAATCTATATATATGTATCTGTTGTCTAGTACTCGAGTACTCTAGTACACAAGCTCTGCTTAAATTCACACAGCGCCATCTAGTCCCAAGATGGTGCTGTGTGAATTTTGCTGAAATATTATTATTAAATATAATTTCTTTTAACTATTATATCAGGACTTTTCGATCGTTCTAAAGTGGACGGACAGATAATTAACGTGAAATTTCTCTAAATAATGGTAAGTGAACTTTTCAGATATATAAGGCTGTAAGGTAAGTAGGTATAGATAAAGATATATTAAAAAAAAACAATGTTTTTCTTTAAGGGAATTGTTTTTGGTAGTTATTAATAGTTTGTTGTCATTGTAGTTTTAGGAGCTTAGTAGTATTTTTATTTGTTGTAGTGTTATTTTTATACATATGTACCTATATAGGTAAATAGAAAATGGAAGAAAAATATTAGGATTTTTTTATACTTGTCAATTGTTTGTACAAATCTTACGGAGATTCCTAGTATTTTTCCTGTATTTTCTATTTACCTATACATATATAAAAATTAAACTACAACAATATATATATTTTTTGTTTCCTTTAAAGGATATATTTTTGGCAGTTATTAGTTGTTTTTTGTTATTGAAGTTTTGCTTTTTATTAGTTTATTAGTATTTATATTTATATCTATTTAATACTTTATGATTCATAAAAAATATAAACGGATATATGTCTCTGAGTTTGGTTTCATAATAACACAAATGAAGCACCACAAAAAACAAAGTAGACATTTATTTTCAATTTTTTTTTTTCTGTTATGTACGTATAACAATTTTCAGAAATAATATCCGGTTACAATTTTTAAAATTGTCTTCGCTATATATTTTTTATAGCGTAATATAATTTTCCTACCCTACATAGCGTTAGAGAATTTGGTATTTAAAAATTTGATCCTGACAGTACCGACCTCTGTCGTGGTCTTTGGTGATGCTATAGTTTATACAGCAATAGACAAACAAAATTGCCGCCAAAACTTGGATTAGCTTGGAGCTGCCGTTTCACTATTATTATTCTTAAGGATCAACAACGCGCATGTGACACCTCCGATGTTTCAGGCCCATCAGATGGGTCCTATGCTTGTTTGCCGACGTGGTAATATTAACCTTATACATAAAATTCTCGTGTCACAATGTTAGTTACCATACTCTTACGAAATAGCTCGACCGATTTTTATGAAATATTGTATGCATATTCAGTGGGTCTGAGAACTGGCTACTATCTATTTTTCATACCCCTAAGTGATAAGGGGTTGGTCACCCCTGACATATTTTTTTTTACTTTTTTTTTATTTTTTATAATATGGCATACAACCCTAAATTTTCATCATTCTATCACTAACCCCCAAATTTTTAAATGGCTATTTATTATATTATATATGGCAAAACAACGTTTGCGGGATCAGTTAGTAAAAATATATATAAAATACCAAAAGCTTCTCCAATCCTGTTATTAAGTGATTTCCATGTCAAATTAATGGAAAATACCAATATTTTCAAAACGCTAATAGTAAAGTTTGTGTATTTGTATTTCCCTCAATTATTACCCAAGATTTTGACATATGTGGACTGTGGATTCATCTTGAGTCCTCTTTACACCTAATCTATGGATCTACCAAACTGACATAAAAACCAGTGCTGCTGCCACTGTCCATTCAATTGTAAGAAATACATGCTGTTTTCTAGTTTTCAAACTATAAAAAGTTGGATACAAAAATATCCTTACTTAAATATGTCTCAATGGAACGAATTGTTCTACTTTGTCGATGCTGTATGTCCCTCCACATTTCCATTGACTAGTGTTTGGAATTGTCCTCTCACATTTTCGCCCATAGATATTGTTTGTCGCCCATCTCGACAGGTTCTATTCTCATCACGGAAATATAAATGGCCCCCTGACATTTGCTTACTGCAAATACCATCCATTTTTATATGATCATTTTAACACTGCCTCGGTGATCTAGCACACCGCTTTATTTCCAATGGTCGCGGGTTCGTTTACTCGCATGGTATAAACCTTTTGTCTTCCTGACTTTATTGTTTAGGAATATTATTATTATTATTTGTAGTTTATAGTAACTAGTTTTTACATGCGAAACTTGTCCCATGCCCTCTTACAAATTTAACGCCTCTTAGCCTACAATCTTGAAGTTTTCTTCCATTTTTTTATCTGTGGGTACAGGGTTATGACGCTGGTCATCAACCACATTGTTATAGTGGGCTTACCAGATTTCCAGAAGGTCCCACAGTTTTCAACACAATTTTCTTTTAATACCTACATTAATGTATGTATGTATATCATTCTATATACTATACCAATGATATTATGTTGTGAAACCGAAGTTAATATTAACAATAAGTAGATTTAGAATGTTAATGGTTACAAAAAGTTTTATATTTACAACTTGTAGTTTGCCATCTCATGATTATGTTATAAACTTATATAATTCGCCACCAAATTGCCAAATGTATGTATTATGGACTAGTGTTAAGTTTATATTTTTCTTTTAATCCACTATAAATAATATCAAAAACAAGAAAATTTTGTCAAACTTAGGAGACAATTGAGTTGAATTACTGAAATTTTATGAAAATTGTACATATCATTAAGTTTATAATTTATAATTAAAAATTGCACCATCTAAGGACCTGATTTCGTAATTTACCAGTTTAATTGCATTCTTGGAATTTGGTTTCGAATCTTTGTAAATTACTTACAGACTTTTGTTTAGGTCCCATAATGTCTGGTGAATTATAGTTTAATTATATTCAAAGTCGATCTACTGTTATACATAAATATAATATACATATACAAAATTATTTTTGACTTTATTATCTTTGACCCCAATTGGTATTTTTATACGTAACATAAAGACAATGCGAACTTCTTGCAATAATTATTGTCTCGCATTATCTTGAGTTGAATTACAACTGACCAGATGAGAATTGTTATATTTAAGTTGGCAACATTATTGAACTTCACAGAGAAGTCAAGACGCTAATTTTACCTTTCATAGACACAAATTTCATCAATGGAATGCAGTTTACTTCTCTATTAAAGTTTTCATCTTTTATTTACTTTAATAAGTACTAACATGTTGCCATATTATTAATTGTCATTGTCTTATATACCCATTTTTTTTCTTACCTTTAATATTATATAATCCATATTTGTATAGTTTATACTCTTCACCGTTTGCAGTTGGGTTGGACTTTAGACTTTAATATTGGATCTGACTCTTAAAATATTTTCCTCCGATTTATGAAGTTTTACTAGAGGAAAAATAAAACCAATATGAATGATTCTTTTGTTTTTATTTCAGTGGAGTTTGGTGATGAATTCAAGACCCATTTTTAAATACATTTAATTCTTAGTGATTAGACAGTTATTTTCATTGTTAGTAATAAGCTTGCATCCATTATCTTCTTTCGTAGAGGTTTTTAGCATTAGGATTTTATTTCAATAAAGTGTCTAATACTGCCTTTGTGGTTTTTTTTTATTATTATAAAAAGTCAGTACAAACAAATCACCTGCATCACTCCTGTTAGAACAATTTACAGGAACATTGAGTAATGAACATTAAGTTTAGTTACTACTGGTTTACTATCCAGAATAACCCCCGAGAGGTAGTGAGTTCAAATCTGGCTGACACTAAAAAACTTTCAACATAAAGTTTATATTTTAACTGTAATGTTTATATTTTTGCCTGATTCTCCAGTGATGGAAACGATTTAAATCAAAATTTAATAAGAGTGACGGCTTTAGGCTCAGCGTCGACTACGTTGTATTCAAAATGGTCATGCCAAGTGTTGTGATCGTCACAAGATCGACAGTTGGAGCTGGAACCACAGGCGTGACGGTATCAAGTAACCTATAAATGTAATCTTAATTCTAATCTGAATACAGATTACAACATACTTAATTATTAAAACATAAACAAGTACCCGCAGAGGCACTGCAAACCAGTGGAAGGATTGCTTGACGAAGACATCTGAGAGCAACGGTATGGGATCAAACCTCCGGTTGGGATGGAATTTTGTTCCCCGTTTGAATTGGATGATGGAGAGAAATTAGCATTACATTTTTTTTGTTATATAATAAATTCAGCCACAAAAATATATAAAGAAGAAATACTCCAGTTTCATATTGCAATTCTTTTGTTTTATTGAGGGTTAAACCTGAGTACAATACAGTCTAAATCCATACAATGATTTTAATCATTGTATAGACAAAATATTACCATACAAATAAGCTACAAACTTTTATGACATTCACATAAAAACTTATGTACGTAGTGAAATAATACTATGCTTTCAGTTTTACTCGTTCTACAACTGTGCGAGGGGCACGACATTATACGCAGTGTATCTCAGTATATCACTCGGTATTGAGGATTTATTTATTATCTCATTTATTAAATTTATTTGAACGCAGTTTTCTAAAAACTTTAAACGAATAGTAAGCAGCCGAAAACAGTGGCTGTATGGATTGAGTACTTTTGCCTTTGTTTGACAATAAGACTAGGAAACGAACCAAAAAAAAAGTAAGCAATTGACAGACAGATCACTGATTACAGAGTACTTCGAGGATAAGATAATTATAAATTCACAACAGTGCTCATGAACTGTATTGAATACATTATTGTCACGAAATCTAATTATAAGAAAGTATATTTTCAAATGTATTGTTATTATTATTTGTTTCTGATGTTAACATTAATTTACAATGCAAAGTAAGGCTAATTTGTAGTTGTTTTTACTTAAAAATAATTAATGTAGTAACTAAAAACATTAGTTAAGAAATGTTTATTGAATTTTGTAAATCACCGAATTTTATAGAAAATAAATTACAGAAGTAACTTTCTAGGAGAAGTGGTATATAGTCATATACGTATTAATGTGCAGTATAGTTCTAAATCTGTTATTACAGGTAACAGGAGTCATTCTAATTATATTATTCCTTCGGGACTCGTTAATGAAGAGACACAACAAAAAGATGCCTTTTTGTTTGTAGCTAACATATCCAAATACTGGGAACCTAATGATATCAAGCAATTTGTTTTTGAAACATGCAAGTCTCCTGTAAGTATCTAAGTTTTATAATATACTAGCTTTTGCCTACAGCTTTGCATGTATGGTGTATTATATGAAATATGTATTATAATAATTAATTGACATTGTCACCTCTTTTCCCATAACTGCATTAAGCAGTACATGGACATTTGCCTCTATTCACAACAACTGATCATGATAGACAAATACAATATTTCAGCTACAAATTTTCTGCTGTTAATAATAATAATGCCTCCCTCCGATCGATCTCTTGTCCAATTCAAACGGTGATCGAAATTACGACGGTCTGAGCCGAGGGTCGAACCCTTCGGTGCCCTCAGACTAAAGGCATATTCGTAAGGACCTTCAGGAGTTGTGTGGGTTTAGATCTGCACTCGCCCCCTATTGGCCAGCTGCGGCCAACAGCAATGGAGTAGTCCAAAAAAAATTTTATTAGTGAATGATTATACATATGTTATAAGATTTTATGTAAAACATTGACTTATATCAAGCATACAGATATTAATCTATACATATAAATAAAATTGGAGAGTCTGTTTGTAATATTGAAGTAACCGTTTTTTATTATATGCATATGAATATAAATACGATACATACACCAAAATAACAATTTTTACAATTTTTTGTCTGTCTATTTGTTCGGCTAATCTCTAAAATGGCTGGACTGATATTGACTTAGGCTACTTTTATTTTATATGTATATTTTTATTGGCAGATAGCCAATGTAATAATGAGTAACTTAGGCTACTTTTATTTTATATGTATATTATTGAGTGAAGTGTGAAGAGATCTTAGAGATCACATTTGCACTCTTTGTATATAATATAATATGATTATAATACAATAATATTATGTTTCAGGTAATTGAACAGACATTAAAACATGTGACAGTTTTAAGAGATTTAGAAGATAATTCAAAAGGCGAGTGTTTGTTGACATTTGCAAACCCAAATGCATGTCATATGGCAATGAAACTGCTGCGAGGTGCAGAATGTGATAACAAGAAGATAATAGTCATGCAGGATTCTGGTCGGATACCTTTATATGTTGCATTAAATCCATACTTGGCTTCTGACAAGAGTAAGTACCTTTTTAAAACTTTCCAATACTCAATATTATATTTTATCACATTCCATAATGTTTTATTTATATTAGATGTTTGCATTTCGTACAATTAGATCCATATGGACCATTTTAGGGTATGTGAACAACAAAATTATTGTTATAACAAATTATCAATATTAGCATTATTTATAACATATAATTCTATATTATTCATCCATAGATTTATCATATATTATATCAAATCTAAAGCTTACCATTTGATTATAGTATAATACTGTTTATTACTAATAATAATCTCAGAACAATTGACACAGTGCCATCTAGACCCACGTTAAGCTAGCTGAAGCTTGTGTTATGGGAACTAGATAACTGATACAAATACTAAAATAATGAAACGAAGGAAAAAAAACAAATAAACTGTAAAATAAAAATAATACATAAAAGTCATTATTGGTATATAAGGTTATACACAATAAACATGTGTATATTATTAAATACTGCAAATATATATTATAGTATACTTATAATATTTAATGAAGAACTCAAACTTAATACATTTTAAATTATTTGTTAGGTATGTTACTTGGCTATATTTATATTCGGGGTTGTTGTGTATATAGGTATTTTTTTATTATTATAATAAAAGTAAATTGCAGACATAAATAGTATAAAATAATGACGAGCACAACAAGTAATCAGTATGTCTGCAGAAGAAGTCTTTTATTTTCCCGCGCGAAGATAATGCGCCACATATGGGCAAAGTTCGACGGCGTGCGGAGGCAGTAGGATGACCAGCGCAACATAGCTATATGCGCAATGTTATTACTAATATGAGTATTAACATTATTAAAGAAGAAATTTAAAAGATTTAAGTCATAACCTTGTTTATGAATGAAATCCTATAAAAGGCATTATTATTTTAATAGAATTATATTGTTTCAGGTAACCTAGTTGAACATTATAAAAATTTAAGAAACAATACAGATCCAAATACAGTGTAAGTTTTGCATTTTTTTTTATATAAAATCTATACAAATAAATAAAATTGGAGTGTCTGTTTGTAATACAGTACATGAATATAAATGCGGTAAAGACACCAAAATAACATTTTTTACAATTTTTGTCTGTTTGTTCCGGCTAATCTCTGAAATAGCTGGACCGATTTTGACGGAACTTTTATTGGCAGGTAGCTGATGTAACAAGGAGTAACATAGGCTACCTTTATTTTAGAAAAAATCTTTTATTTTAGTTTCACGCGGACGAAGTTGCGTGTACAGCTAGTGTACAATAAAAAAAAAGACGTTTGTATACTAAGCTTAATATACTTTTTGTATAGACTAGACAACGGATAGAGATACCTAATTTTATTTGTATAGGTACATACATACATGTATGTATAGAAACAACCACACAAATAACACGTCACGAATTGGGGGGAGGGGGTGTTACCATCAAGTTGCCTGTTAATTGGTTTCCAATTCCAGTTACCTAAAAAAATTTGGCAGATACAGCGAAATCATTATTTTTCTTTTAATTGTGGCTCCATCGGAGATTCGACGGTCAATTGTAAATGTCAAGCTCGGAACAGATCATTTATGTTTTAGTAGTCATCATATAATATACACTTTGTGCCTGTGAGTGGCGGTCGACAAAGTGTATAAAAAAATTGGGCAGATGAATTGAAATCATTTATCTTTTTTTTTAATTATAGCTCCATCGGAGTTATGATCTTTTTTCCAATGTCAAGTTTGAAAAAGAATATTTATATTTCAGTAGTCATCATATAATGTCACACGTTGAGCTGGTGGAAGACCGTCAAAAAAGTTTGACCAAGGCCGCCAGTGGTCCTAAATTGCGTGCCGCCACTGTGCGCGACGCATATTTTGAGATATTATTTATGTATTTATATATTATTATACAAGAATGTTATATTTGACATTCTTATTCTTCTGTTATTTGCTTAGTTTTGATACGTACAATTATAATATTCCTTCTTGAAAACCTTTCCATAATTATATTTACCAGCCTAACATATATACAGTCCTTCGCCCACGTTACATTCCCAAATGTAATATATCTAAGTATTTCCATAATACATCATAATAATATCGCCTACACTTAATAGAATACTACAATAACTAAACATTACAAAATTAGGTAAAAAAATATTTATTAATTATAAAAACAACTCTATTTTTTAAATTTAAGTCTAATTGCTTGGCTAAATTATATCATAATGCGGTATTGTATTACGCGTGCAAGATAATCATATGTAATTATTCATCATGATTATATGTAATTAGTAATGATAATTATATATACTTAATTATTTACTTTTTTAAATAATTTATTTTACCAACAGAACAACAAAACCAACTAACAACGTCACTAAATCAACAAACACATCTTTTGGTTCTTCGAACGAAACATATGGTCTGAGCAAAGAATTTTTGGATTACCTCGAGATAAAACTACCGCTGCATAAAATAATATTCATTGGAAATGTAAGTGGTGGGCCTTTTTTTAATGACAGTTTGCTTCTAGTGTTGAAAGTGCATATGGAGGCAGTAATCACTTAGCATTTAGTGAAAGGACCTCCATCTGAGATACCAAAGTCACCTGAGATAGAGTTATAAAAAGTCGCCTCTACAATTGAAACTGAAGAACCCATTCAGAAGCGAAGCAGCTTGTTTCGTAAACTATTGCAGTGGCTAAGCAGGTTAGCTTGCTTGTAAGCTGTTTGGATAGTAGCGTCAGATTAGGCAGTGAAATGACTGGATAAGGAGCATGACATCTTAGTCCTCAGGCATGGCAACACATTAATGGTTATTGCTAGTACTTGCCACATTATATAATGGATTAGTGACTAGATCCACTAGTGAAGGATAACAAAATGAGCATGATCAAATTTATCATCTGTATAATGGATTAGTGACTAGATCCACTAGTGAAGGATAATAAGATGAGCATGACCAAATTCATCAACCTGACATGGTACATTGCTGACAATGGGGTCATTACTAACCATCCCCTTCAACCCATAGACCACAAGTGGTCTGCTGATCACTGGTTAATAAGATTAAGTAAAGGTCTAATTCAATGTGATTGATAATTTTCAGTTAGAGTCATCAGTAACTGAAGAACAAATACGCGAACTCTTCCAGCATGCTGGTCATATCTATGGCATAATGCTCATGAAATCCGAGAAAGCGAAAACATTTGCCAAGATTGAATATGACCATCCGGTCGAAGCTGTACAGGTATGTATAATATTTAATCGTTTTGTATTGACAATAATTAAAATTTGGCATTAAAAAAACTGTGACGAAACAGAATAAAGAAATATTTCAGATAAGTTGGCGGTATTTTAACATTTTATATGTTGACTTGTACAAAAGGCGACTGATGAACGACGACTCCAAACAATTGAATTGCGAATGTTGAGATGGATGTGTAGTGTGACAAGAATGGACAAGATAAAGAATGAATGCATTAGAGCAAGTATGAAAATGGCGCCAGTATCGGAGAATTTGAAAAATAATCATCGGTCATGTATGGGAATGTAATGCGTAGGAATGAAGAGAATATTTTAAAGAGAGTACTACATGTGAATATGGATGGTTATAAGAACAGAGCAAGGCCGAAAAAGAAGTGGAGGTACTGTGTGAAAGATGATGGCAAGAAGAGGAGTAAATAACGAGATAACTGCGAACAGGGATGAATGGAAGAAAACTCCATGCCCATTATTATGCCGACCCCAAATGTGTGGGATAAGGAAAAAGCAGATCTTGATGAACTTGTACATATTATACAATACAAACTTGTACCCTGCGAGGAATCGAACCCGTGACCATCGAATCTAAGACAGTGCAAAAACGAATGATTTTTTTTTAATACTGCTAATTGGCAATCTGTGTTAAACGCTAGTCCAATCTGATGACTCTTTTTGTACAAAGTATAAAGATATTTTGATACAATGATGAACTTCGTTTTGTTTTAGGCTATATCGATGTTCCATGGCCATATGTATATGAATAGAACTTTGATAGTCAAGATGGACAACAATGGAAGTTTGCAGTTAAAGCGATCGGGGCCGGGTTTAGGACCTAACGGGCAACCATTGCGAGCGGTCAGGTATTCCGTAGAATTGGAGCCCCTCAAGCAATTATTACTGCAGGAAATTGCTAAATTACAAACAATAAAACCACAAGAAGGTAATGTTAATACCGGATATCAAGGTATTCTACAAAACAACTCCATTGGAGCCATGAGCAATTTCCAGAATACTCAGAATCTTAACGGCCTGCTGAATGTTGATGCCTTTAACCCATATAATCAATATTTGTATACATATAACATGATGAACAGTCAAGGTGTGCAAAATTTAGTAATGACGCCAGGATTACAACCGCAAAGCAATGTTATGTCAGTATTCCAGAATCAAAATATAGCTAATACGGTTCAGAATCCAATGGCTGGTATTCAAAATCAATTTAGTAATATAGACCAGAATATTATTGGAAATAAGGCACATAATAAAACGGATGAAGTTAATACGTTTTTAAAAAGAAAGCAGAGTAAGGAAAGCCATAGACAAGAAAGTTCTCCAACACAAAGCGACAGTTATGAGAAGTACTTGTATGATAAGATGTATAGTAGCGACTTGGAAGGTTAGTTTAATGTTTGTGTTTTATATTACAGTATATTTTAATTATTACTATTGGATGATATATTTATTATTACTAGTTCTATTATTGTGTTCTCTTCTAATAGTATTATTGTGTTAAAATTTCGAGCACTGGCAGCAAGCAGTGGTCGAGATTTTAACACAAATTTCAACTTAATTTGAATTATAAGAACATCCATTACATTCAGTAAAACTATAGACAAATAATATTAATCTATAAATATTCTCAATTTGACCACAGATTTTAACAATAAACTAGAGTTTAAAGTGTGTGTCAAGTACATGATAGTATGCGTAATGTTTTTTTTTATTGATTTAATGTATTTATTAAGCATAATTTAAAAAATATTGGCTTTCTCCCTCATTCTCTATATAAACTATAAGGACGCGAAATACTGCTCCGTCCGCAAAATTTTCGTAAAAAGGACTACAAAGTTTTTGCTTCACGTATTAATGTAGTATAAATTAGTATTTTAGCAATATCAGGAATTTGGTTGTAGTTTTTAATATTTTTACGGTATTAAACTACAAACCTACTTTTTATTTCAAAACGAACTTAATCTTCAAAACTTAACTATTTTTTCTTTCAAACAATATTTTAAATAGGTTGTTTCATGAAATATGACACTATACGAAGGTCACTATTTTATATATATCGCAATTAATCTTTGTTTTAGTAAAATATATGTAAATTAAAAAAGAGACTTGTTTCTCCTTTTATTGATACCGGGGCAAAGGGTCTGCATCGAGGCCCTGAGAATTTTAATAATTAAAGACTATATTTTCAGAACCAGAGACTAAATATACACGTAGAGTATCACCAACGAGAAGCGAACATTCTGATAGCAGTGTTGATACATCTTCTGATTTGTTAATTTTCACAAATGTAAGTTAGAGCTATATATCTTTACATAATATAAATAAATATAATGTTTTAAATTACGCAACGCCTTATAATGCAGTTTTTAGCATAACATAGCATAGCATAGGAGAATCAAAGGGAAGGTTTATATGTATAATACATGAACACCCATGCGAGGCCGTGCCTGGTAACTAGTATAATATATAATAGCAATTCATATACATGACTCTAAATTAGTCCAAATGAACGCTTTTTATTTATATGTAGTTGGAATAGTAAACAAGTCTCTATGTTTTTTTTTAATTTATCCGTTTCTTGTATTGTTTCAAATTAGAAATCTATTTTTATATTTCTTAATTTCAGCTACCGTCAAGTTTGAACGCGGACACGCTGTCTTCCAAAATGAGTGAAATAGGCGATTTGAAATTCGTGGAGTTGACCGGAGGCAATAAGGCCATCGTGAAATTCAACAATACTCGCGACGCTGAACGTTGTATCAGTATCCTTTTTATATAATAAACACGCAAGTTTTATGCTCATTCTTATTCTGATGAGTCTGCGTTCCAAATAAATGATAGTAGCAAAAAATGTGACTATTCAAAAATGCTTATATTAAGTTTATTTTAATAATAATGATAATTCCTGTTTCTATTTAATATCCACAACGAACAGAGAATGGATAAAACAGTATCTAGGCGAGGATTCCTTCAGATTGCTTTCCGGTCCAGTCTAGGCTTTTCTATGTATATTATGTATGTATTTACAAAAACATTTCTATCTAAATATTCCTATCAGTTATCTAGCAGCAATAACAGAAATTCTGCTTGGGACTAGATGACGCTGTGTGGATTGTAAAATACTACACTCGTAATATAGTATACAATAATGAGTACAGGTAGTCTCCACCTGTATTGTTACTGCTTCCATTAAAGTTACAGTCCCTATGTTCATGTTCAAGTCTGGTTTAGAAACCATGGTACGTCAAATTTGAATGTAACATGTAACAAGATGGCTGAAGTTTTAATTAATTGTATTTTATATTCAATGACATGACTACAACATTTTTAACAAATAACTCTCCTTAACTGACTTATCAGGACTGTTAGATCGTTCCAAAGTGGATGGACAAAGAATAAACGTGAAATACCTGTAAATAAAAGTGAGTATTTCAGACTCGTCGGTGTGAGGTAAGTAAGGTAAGATTGAAGTAAAACTTTAAGGGAAATTGAACTTATACATACAGATTTTCCATTATTCATTCCTTCTTCCTTGTCATAATTTCTTGGGTTAGAGATAAATTTGTATAGGTTGATCTGCGTTGTAATAGCTTTTTTTTAATATTTATGGCTGCAGGGTTACGATGATTTTGCCAATATCAAGCTGGGATATCACTGCTTCTTTTATAATCTGTTCATACGGCTTTTTTTTAGCTATCCAAATTTGTTGAGAATTGGACTCAAAGGAAACAAATATATAATGCTGTATTTGTTAGTTGATTGGATTATCAAATATTTGCGTTTTACAGTTTTATTAAACTACATTTGAAATATCAGTGGCGTAATGTATATAAAAATACTATACTTTACATACCTACATATGTATATTTTAAACAAGTGCACAACTTGTGTTTATTTATCAACCTCAAAATCATTTATTCACACGGACCTTTCTGCCTTGTGTATACATCTTTTTTTTTTATCAATATGCCTACCGCCCTAGATTTGCAGACATCTGTCGATGAAAACTTTTTAGCCCTTTCAAGCCTATATGGTGAATCATATTTAATAACATATTCTGTGAAAATTTCATAGTAACTCTTCCAGCCATTATCTACAAATTCTAAAAACAGGTAACGCAAATTCTTCAAGTATATAACTGTTTTGTTTTCTGTAATCTAAGATTATTTCAGTCGATAAAACGTGCCATTTTCCAAATCGTGATACAAAATAGTTTTTATGATTTTAGAATATAAACTAAAAATTTTACCTAGCATTTTTCATTTCCTGTGTACATTAGGTACTTTTGTTATTTTAGGCTTGTTACTTCCAGGTATCTTTAATTGTACAGAAAGACGGGTTTTGTGGAGTCATTAGTAGAATCATTTGTTCATTTTTCTAGATTCATAGTTTTAGGTATAATAGAATAGAAGCAGATCCTTCTCACTCTCCTGTCTTAGTATTTCATCTATTATTATCTATTATGATTATAGCATTATATTTTAGGGCATTTTCTTCCAGCACCATGTTTAATATTTAAGTCGAAGCTCTTCAATTTTTCATTACGTGACCCCTACGTAGTTTAGTCATTTTCATGTTGTCTCTTTATTTCTGTTCATGATTTTTTAGATCTAATTGAAGACTAAGGAGTTATATATTAGATACATTAATGTCTCGCCAGCTAAAGTCCAACTAGTTGACTCGGCTTTGCCTATATTACTCGGGAACATGGGCAGTGAAAGGATTTCTCAATTCGGTGCAGTGCTTCCGGAGTTTAATTTCCTGATAACTAAATTGTCTCTATTTTACTTTATATTAGTATACATATATTATCTAATATTTTTAATTTTATATATCGTTTAAGGCAGCCGTGCCGTAAGTAATTCGACTTTTCGATCTTTGTTACTGAAATTTCATGTATTTTTCATGTATTTAAGCCAGTGCGGGGTCTTTAGGCACATAATTTGGGTACGAAATTAGATTCTTCAGTTTGGGTTTTTATAAAAAAAATACTTGCAATTGTTTTTCTTTTAATATTACGTTTAGTTCCCTACTAAGTCAGAGCGTGGGGCCCGTAGCATTTGCTACCATTGCTACAAGTTAATACGCCACTGTATTTAGGATATTAAGCTTGATTTTTTAGTTCCCGTACAATTCTGTAATTAAAAAGGTAATTACTCTGTGTTTTAGCGCTGCCATTTTTTAATCTATAGAACTGTTTTTTAATACTTTATTGTGTTTATAGGTGCCTCACAATGTTTTCCTTCCACATTTTACTTTTAGTGCATTTACTAAAAATGGCAAAGGTCTTAATGAAATATTGTTTTTATTTCAGTGGAGTACGCAGCTTATTGAAGACTATTTTATTCGTAGACAAAATCAATTATCTATATAGGATATTTTTTTATATTTCTTGCACGTGAATAATTAAAAAATATATATAACTATCCTCACCGTCCAGTTTCGATCACTTTAGTACTGTATGTAAGAAACTCTGGTAAATTTCTAGTTTTAAAATACTTTGCTTACTTTATTATATTGCTAAATATTTTAGTTTTACTGTGACGTCACCATTTCATAATATTGCTAATTTAATCTAATAAAATGAATATTAATACCTATATTCTTGTTTTATTTTTTAATAATAATATACCTTTGGAATATTTAGATCTGATGGAGCAGTCAGTAATTATCAACTGTGAATAATTTTTTATTCTTAATGACATTAAAATTCCTATATAATGCTGTATGATACAATATACATTGTATCATACAGCATTATATATCACAAAGTCCACCAGTCGATCTAGGGGCCGGTGAGTGTTAGGGGGGTGGCATTGTTTAGTTTTAGCCCCGCCTTGAAAAAATGAAGATCCGGTGCTGTCGTCCACTAAGTCTTATGGGTATTGAACTACCGTCGCATGTCTATGAATAGTACATTGTGACATGCGTGATATCACTAATGCGTTGCCATTCCAGAATACAATTACAATTGAAACGCTCGTTGCTCACACGGATGACTTATGTATAAACTATCTTTGTAAATTTAATATCGAACTTCTTAGCATTCCATGGAAGTGTAGAAGCGAGGGAAACACCTAACAGTTCCCAGGACTTATGCCCCGGGGGAAGCGGTGAAGGTGTTAAAAGAGGCTCCTACAGACCTCACCGCTCGTGTTTCTCTCCCTCTAGCCAAGTCTAGTACGAGCCCACTAATGCAGCTTTTGATGAACGTTATAGTATAGAACTTACAGCAGTTCTAAACAAGCCAAGAGATTTCGCTGGTATACCTCTCGCTTCCACTTCGATCGAGTATGAACCGATATATGAACATATCTGTGCTGGATGATGAAACACCTGCTTCTTCTGGGATATTTAAGGTTTATAGATAAAGACGAAATTGTGGTAAGTCATTTATTAACCCTTAAATGCCTATTCTCTCATCATCTTTTCCTTTTGACGAGCCAACTTCTTTTTGGAGAGTTTCTTTTTGGCGGGCGCGTCGTCGGCGGGTGCCGCACGTGCTACAGCGTCCTCGCGTTCACTGAGACACACCTCGATGTGGCATGGAGATGACATGTAGGGGTTGATGCGACCGTGAGCACGGTATGTACGCCGGCGGAGGCATGGCGCGCGGTTTACCTGAACAAGAATTATGTCAAATCAAATCAAAATGTCTATTCATGTAGGTCTATATGGACTATACATCAAATCTACACTCAGTTTGATGTGCTTTCGAGTCTAAAAACTGAAAGAAACTCAGTTCTTATTCTGTTCAAATGAGCTTGTACATTTTGTAAACATGTACAAAATACAATTCATTTTTAAAATAAAATAGAGAGAATATGTCTCTACTTTTATTACATACGCTGTGGTTCACAACAGCATATGCTATTGCAATTGTGTGAAAAGAAATCTAATCAGTGGCCACAATTCTAACAGTATCTACTTAAGTATGTAATAGTAAGGTGTTTGGGTTTCTACTTTAGAATCTCCTCTATACTTTAGTACAAAAATCTAGTTCTAGTATTCAGTGCATGACGTAATATTTAACACACTTTTCTAAAGAAAAGTTTTTGAAATTGAAATTCATACAGCTGGTATAGACTAAGGAAAATAAATTCTCCAAAATCAGGTGTAAGCATGAGATGCAAGGTACTTCCCGGTATGGTTACAGTGCATAAATAATCGAAGGTACCCAGAAATTACCATTACTTTCAGGTGTGGTGTTACTACTATAAATTTGAATGCATCCTTATGAAAACAAGATATGTCTGTATGCAAATTCATTGAAATCTATCAGTTGTATTGTGTTAAAAACATTTATAACATATACAAAACAGTGACTTCTTTTTAACTAACTTAGTCCTTATTTAAAATGAAATAAGATTGAAATGCATTTGAAAAAATACAGCTGGCGCGCACATATCGCCTCTTCACTTTCGATCACTGGGAGAAACTACAGAAATTCGAAAGGTTAATGTTGCAACAATGCTCATAAAAAGAAAATTATTTTCTTTTAAATAGAAAACCATGATTGCTAATATTGTTTGCCTTTAGAAAACAGTCTGTACATAAAAGGAACATACTGTCAAGCAAAAAAGGCAATCTAATATAGAATTCAACCCCAGATTATTTAATATCACTACTGTATATAAATTAGAACATACTAACAATCTTACACATGAATTTAGTATTCAGACCATATGAGAATCGAACCCACTGCCATGTATCATAAGCTTGGTGTTTAAGGCAGTGTATAATAATCATCACATATATAAAACTTACTTACTCTGATTAATTACAAATAATGTAATACAAGTTAGCCAAATACAAAACTATTTCTAATTTGCAATAGTGTCCGTGTCCCCTACTATACAATTTGAGTAAATGTATTGGATGTAATTGAATTAGGTACCTACCTAACCTGTGCCATCTCTTCAAATATATGTTACTTTCCCATTTTTAACTTATTTCTGTAGATGAATGAGATATAGAAATAAAACCAAATTGAGTTTGGACTCACATCTGATATAGGTCTTGAAAACTATGTTTTTTTTTCTGAGTATATTTGTGATCACTCCCAAGACTATGAGTGAATCTATTCTGTGATGCTGTCATGTAGTGGCTTCCCATTGAAAACTTCTACTCATCTGCATCCTAGAGCTACTGCTGGTCTTCTAGCTCCAGGATATGATGGTGTTTTAGCTATTGCACATACTGTTCTATGGTAAGGTGAGCAAGTAGATAAACTATTTACTATTTAATCACACATAATTTACTGACCTGAATATGATCAATGACCAGCCTGTCGACATCTAGACCTTTGTAATCAGCATTTGACTCTGCATTCCTCAATAACTGTAGAAGGAATTCAGCAGATTTCTTCGGCCAGCGACCCTGTGTGGTACCAAACTGCTTGGCCTGTGCACAACGACCAACTCCACCATTGAAACGGCGGAATGGTATGCACTCTTTCTTATCAACTACATTTTTAAGATAGCGGATAGCACGGCGAAGAGGTAACTTCCTAATTGCCATTGCTGTTTCATATGTGTTCTGAAAATGATATTGCACATTTTAAAAAATTACTATTTCACAAATACAAACAAAGAGATTTTATATGATCTCTGCTGTGTGGAATAATTTATGTCATCTATTCTTGCTATGCAGTCATATATACATCTGTACTCATACTTATTGGAAGTTATTGGGTATAAAATCCATCCATTGGCGTAACATGGCGTGCATAAGGACTAAAATTGGTAATTCTCTAATACCCACAATATATATAGATTTTCTTTTTTTATAGTTGCATATCCATAGCCTGTTAGGCTATGGATACCATTTCGATGAAGATGTACTTTAATATAAATTTACGACTACCAACACTAGTCAACAGTCGGATCCTAAATTGTAAGTATTTAATTATGAAAAAAATGTAGCACACCATACAGAATTTATAAAGTATAATGTAAATAATAGTAACTATAAAATGTATATATTTAAGTAAGCATGTACATGATTCTATGTAAGTTTTATTGTAAACAACGTTGATCATGTGAAACACTATGGAATTCATAAAAAATTTAGATACCTTGAAATGAACACGGAGATTTGAGCCACGGGCCTTGCATGACTTCGCTGGGTTATCTGGTTCTCGGGAGTAACGACCCATTTTTGCTCCTGAAACAGAGCGGCATATTTCAACACAACACCATAGAGGTTATAACTTTTTAAATTAACAAATATTCACTCATCCATTGAAATAAACATGAAAGTGGCGAGGGAATAATAAAAGAAGAAAGATCATAGTTGGATTAAACAAAAACTTTCGTAGTTTTTCAGATAGAAATAGATTTTTATAAACACGAAACCAACCTCTCGTAAGACAATTTAAGAGGAAAAGGAATATGGAACAAAGTTTGACAATATTGACAGATAGATGACATTGACAATTGACATTCTCGTCCGTGATGTTTGTATCACCACAGACAATAGACAGAGTTAAGTACCTTTAGGCAAGTTATCACTACGACAATATAATTATCCCACAACATTTCTTAAAATGGTTTATAATACTAAGTTTTTTTAGCCTAACATTAACAATAAATAAAAATTGAAGTCGTCCACATAAATATCACTGTTAACTTTTTACAGAGTGGTATCATTTTAAATATTTATTTTTAATTTTTGTATCATCATTTCTAATATACCTCTTTAATTTGTTCGGAGTTATTTATTTTCTACTATAAAATCTTAAACGATCTGTATACCATACATTCCAAGGAATTTTTAAGTAGGTAAATAATAATTTAAATAATCCTACTCATGACCAAAAATGAGTAAGGATAGAACCCACAATTATTTTAATTGAAGTTGTCTTAAAATTCATAGTATTCTGGTACCCATCATCAAAATTTGTAATATAACTATAAATATATATAATTATCAGGTTTGGGGTTAAATAAAAGATAAAAACATTAGAGTTCCAATGTTTTATTTGTGCAGCTAGAACTACAATTAAATAAATACAATAATTACATGATATTATATATAATTAATTTGGATAAATTTTATAATTCAATAACCCTACATATTGTATTGATATGTATCAAAGCTTTAATTTTCTAATAAATGACCTCATATATTATTGATACGTGATGACTAAAAGCGATGGGAAGGAAGGGGGGAAGAGATTACTATTGGGGGACTAGTAAACCCATTTACGGGGCTCCACACACTCTATAATATGGTAAATTGCTGGAAAATTCGCCATTGAACTGACTGACCTGACTCTTTCATTATCCATTGGTGCCCCTGTGTATACCGACAGCGCAGGTGGGCATATCATTTTATATTTATCCATAGAAAAACTGTCTTTAATGATTTCACCTTCACTGATGTTCCCCCCGCTTATATCGGTGCCATAGAAAGGAGCACCATTCCATTATCATCCTCTAAAAAAACGGCCAGTCATTCGATTCGAAAATTGAAAATGTTGCCGCCAAGGGAATGCATCGTAGATTTTTTTTAAGGATGATAATGGAATGGTGCACCCGCATGCGCTAACGGTTTACGCCGGCGGGGCTCCAGTGGAGTATGATAGGATAAACATGAAGTCAGATCAGTTAGCCCAACGTGACAAAATCACGATGGTTTCCAGGGGGAACCGCGTGGAGGTCAACCTGACATGGTACATTGTTAGCATTGAGATCATCAGTCCACTTTACTAACAATTCCCTTCCCCCCAGCATCGTAGATTATATACCGCTTTGAATGCTAAATGTTTTATAGGCATAGGAATTGGCGATTTGCAGAGTTACAATTCATAGGACGATAGGGGTAGGCTATATTCATTTGAATTAACCCTGATATCGAGCGGTTTATCTACGTAAGTACTTCCTTATACGAGTATTATCTACATGTAATGAACAATTTTCGACATTATTTTTATTAGTTGTAATTCATTTTGTTATTAACTGTACTAACTCAAAATAATTACAAAAACTCAAATCCTTTACCAACTTATTTTACTTAAATATTTTGTCCCTTTCTATCACATAAAGAAAATAAGAGACCTGTAGCTGAGGTATAGACACCAATAGATTTATATTACACATTCGACGTTTTCATGAAAAAACATTTGTTCACATTACAAGTTCAGATCGGACGACCCGTGCCAGCGATGCCGTTCAGTTAGCACAGTTCCAATAAGTCAATTAAACTACGTTATGGGCACGAGCCATCCGGTCCAAACCTAATAATGTGAATCCACACTTAAGCTCGCATTAGTTGCTCCGCTATGCTCTCTTTGCTAATGCGCCAATTGAAAGGAGTCCACGGCACGAGGATTATGTATACATATAAATAAAATTGGAGTGTCTGTTTGTAATATTGAAATAACCGTTTTTTACTACTTGCATAAAAATTCAATACGGTACATACACCAAAATAACATTTATTATAATTTTTGTCTGTCTGTCTGTTTGTTCCGGCTAATCTCTGAAGTGGCTGGACCGATTTTGACGTGACTTTTTTGGCAGGTAGCTAAAGTAATAAGGAGTAACTTAGGCTACTTTTATTTTAGACAAATAATGTTAAATTCCACGCGGACGAAGTCACGTGAGCAGCTAGTTAGGTAAAGTTAGTTAAAGTAAGATTAAATAATTAACATTAATGTTTGTACAATAAAGTTACAACTTATATACAATATTAATTAATATACATTTAATTGTATACATAATAAATTAACAATAACTTATACATTATTAACTAACAGACTAGATTCTATAGACTAGATTCTTTGCAAGAAGTTCTCAAATAATTACTATTAATACAAGAGAAAAAAAAAAGAAAAAAAAGAAGAGAAAGAGAAAGATTTGTTGACATAAATTAATCATGTCAACAAATCGTCATCTGCTTCTTCCTTATCCCATTTATTTATGGTCGGCGTAATATGTTTTTCTCTTCCATTCATCCCTGTTCGCAGTCATCTCGTTATTTACTTCCTTTCTTACCATATCATCTTTCACACAGTCCATCCATCTCTTTTTCGGCCTTCCTCTGCCATTATGACTGTCTATAATTATGTCGACAAATGTTATACGTTAAAATTTATATGTATAAATGTAAACTGTTAATAATGCTTTGAGAACCACTGCTTTTATATCTATGATAAAATTATGACTTTTATATTATATGATAGAATTATAGTATACTGAGTAATTAGGTAATTTTGACTAGAAATTATTTTCATGTAATGAGGGTTTATCCATAAGTAACGTCAGATCAATTGTAGCAAATTGAGCATCTTCCACTGTCACGGTTAATCTCATTTTAATACTCCAATATGATGTTAATACAAATCTAAGACCTAAGAGAGGGGTCCTATCTTCCAGGCATCTTTACATGCTTTTTTTTCGATCTATTCTAAAGCTGTTAGCCGCAGCTGGCCTTGACAGCTTCACCGGACGATAGGCGAGTGCAGATGGCACTCCAAACCCGCGGAAGGACTTAGAAGCGGACACACGCCAACGTCTGACGGATACGACTTTAGTCTGTACACCGCTAGGGGTTCGAACCTCGGCTCAGGCCCTCGTAATTTCGATCGAAAGGGGACACGCACTTTGTGATAATGTACCACTTTATAGAACACCCCCCTCCCTCACCTCTTTCTTTAACCTGGGACGTAATTTTTTGATTAACGTCAAAGATGGATAGAGACAAGTTTAAGAAAGTCTATAATTATATAGGTATATATATAGGAATACGATATGTATCTAAAAATTGCTTTCCTAGAATTGTCTAAAGTATATCGTATTTCGTATAAATAAGGTTGTTTGTAATCTTTAAATAATACACAACGATTACTGTGCCTACAGGAAACTGAATCATTTTCCCTGTGAATTACATTCCACACATTCGTAAGTATTTTTTAACTACATATAGATGTGTTATACGTGTGAATTCACATCATACACATAATAAAGAGGGCAGTTTTTACCTATATGACATTGTTGTTATGCTAACAGCTAACAGACCTTAGTAATTACTATTATTCATTGTTTTTGCTTTAGTATCGTTACATAGTATAAAACAAAGTCGCTGGCGCTGTCTGTCCGTCTCTATGCATGCTTTAAAACTACTCAACGGATTTTAATATTTGATAGAGTGATTCAAGAGGAAGATTTATTATACAATACATGTACATCCGTGCGAAGCCGGGGCGAGTAGCTAGTTTACTAATAAAACAAATTACTAAGAAAGATATATTTAGTAATTTGAAGTTTCAAAAATATACAATCGCTTTGGAGTCCTACAAACTTAAATTGACACGTTTTGTTATTAAAAGGACTAGTGGATCTGTTAGTAAAGTACCTACCACGTGATATATATGTCTATATTATATATAATATAGGAATATATACATATTACTAGTATATATACATATTTCATTACTTTACTAACTGAAAGTTTTTACCTCATAATCGTAATATATCGTTATATTTTAACCTTATAGAGACGACTCTTCACGACTGCAATCCTACATAGGGTAGTCAGCATTGTTCGGTCGTGGTGAACGCAACTTATTGTTAGCAGGTAAGTATATGTTATATATTAAATAGTGTTGCTATATATTAACTATAATTTGAGTTTTAATGAGGCGCCGGTGCAGGCGGAGGAAGTAGAGGTAACGGAGCGACGCAAGCTGCACATCCGTCTCTTTCTGAAAATTAAAAAAGTAATTATACCACAGATAAAATAATATTACATACTATACTAACTCTTGACTATGGTATAGTGTCTATGATTTATCTTATAATGTTGGTATAACATAAAACATTTTGACAGCTTCGGTAGTCTACCGGTTTAGCACACCGCTTCACTTGCGATGATTGCCGATTTTTTTTCTTGCGGGTGTTAAAAATTAGAATCATGAATGTTCTTTGTATCGATGTAGATGCCTAAATTATATATATATATATATATATTTACAAAAACAATAATTACGTAAATTATTTTTAATATATACAACAATAATTACGTAATTATTTCCATCAGTTTACTAGTACCCATAATAAAAGCTCTACTTAGCTTGTTTAAAAATCAAAATCATTTCAGATTGACAAACATATCCTATAAGATACCTACTCGTACACACAAAAAATAAAATGTAATTGTGAATTTTAAAATCTTTTAACGAAATAAACTCAAGAAGATATACATATTTCATACAATTAGTTAACTTTGTTGTTGGTTGTATTTTATTAATTTTTTATTTCATGTATGTACGTACAGTTTAAAATATAAATGATATCGATCTACCGTCGCCTGGCACCTAATCCCGATATAATTGAGACAGACAACCAGGGTTGTCAACCGTACGCGAACTCTGGTACATGTACGAAGTTTTTGGCCTTGGGTACGAGCACATTTTCATCATAGCACTTGCACTATGTGCTAGGATGAAAATGTGCTCGTACCCAAGGCCGAGATTTTGACTTACGAATATCAAATAGTCAAAATATGATGGGTTATGAGCTTAGAAAAAAGAAAATTGAGTGTAAAACTCTAAATAATATTAATAATAATATCTCAGTACAGTACACAGCGTCATTTAGACCCAAGCTAAGCAGAACTCGTGTTAAATGTACTAGACAACTGATATAAATATATCTATAGATACATTTATTTTGAAAATACATAATATTCATGAAAATACTTAAATTTATACGAACATACAATCACACTGAGGTATACGAATGTTTATACCGTGTGAGGAATCGAACTCGCGACCATTGAAAATATGGCCCTAAGCGGCTCTAAGCCGCTAGACCACGGAGGCCGTCAAATACGAGATTTCTTTACTACTTCGTACAAACCTAAATATTTTAAGGTTGGCAACCCTGTAGAGAACCTTACAAGCAATTAGTCTGTTGAACGCTCATATCAGTAAATATGTTACAATAATCACATAAACGATATTTTGATAGAGAACTTACGATATTTTTTTTATAGACGCCTAAACTACACAGAATTCCTTTACTAAACTTAATGACAATAATAATAATAACCACAGGACAATAATAATAATTTATACAGCGCCATCTAGTCCCAAGATAGCGGATCTTGTGTTATAAGTAGGTACTAGACAACTGCTGCAAATATTTTATATAATATATATATTTTTCATACGCGTAATTACAAATGTTCGCATCAAGCGAGGAATCGAACGCGTAACCATCAATTGGCTAAACCGCTAGTCCACCAAAGTCGTAATACTTATGTGATTAAGTGCAATAATACCATGTTTGGGCCACTATAAACAGATTTACAAACAATAGAAATAAGAACTTCATTTATTCTTTAATGTCTACTGAAAATTTTTAAAAGGAGTTTCTCAATTTGTTATATTTTTTATCTGTATTTATAGGCACAGTATGTGCAATGTCTTCTCGCTCCGATCGAACCCTCGTCCTATTCAAACTTGGATCGACATTATGACGACCCGAGGTTCAAAACCCTAGCGGTGCTCTAAGAGTAGGCTAAGTCCTTAAATAAACCTTAAATAGGTTTTGAGTGTCATCTGCACTCGTCCTCTATCGTTTGGTGAAGCTTTAAAGGCCATCTGCTACCTACAGCATTATGATGGTAAAAAAAACAATGTGTTAAACAACCTGCAGGATGTCCAAACGGCTGACAGAAATCTGTTCAAAAGAACAGGGTTTAAACATTTAATAATAATAATATTTTTTATTTTGCATCCAATATTTACAATTTCAATTGTTCCCTGGAACCTAAACTAAATAGAAATTTGTATTTTAGGTACCAGATCCCTTCTCTTACAATTCATAATGATTGGAATTACAAATTATAAAAAGACAATCAAATAAGGTATTAACTTAAGCTTATCATCATTCACTTGCAGTGTGTGTGTGTGTGTGTGAAATGACGATAAAATAAAACAATTACCAAAATGAAATTAAACTTACCACGGTCGTGCATGTAGTGTAGAGCGGGTCGGAGATCTGGTAACCGCCAGGGTTCTACCCTCGTATCCTCTTCTCTTTCAACTTTAGGCACTAGGCCGCTCCAGCAGGAGTCTTCAGGGCGAGGAGTGGGAGCAGTGCGGCACGGCCATGAACATCCCTGGAAAAGAAATCGAGTTAAATCGGCCTTTTAAAGGTTTTGTGTTTTTTTATTTAGTAACGATATATTTATTTAAAACTAGCTGACCCGTGCATCTTCTTTCATTGCAGCTCCGCTCATATTGGTCGTAGTGTAATGTTATATAGCTTAAAACCTTCCTCGAAAAATGGACTATCCAACACAAAAAGAATTTTTCAATTCGAACCAGTAGTTCCTGAGGTTAGCGCGTTCAAACAAACTCTTCTACTTTATAATAAAAATAATATAAATAAACAATATAAAAATAAACGACTGTGGCAATTTTTACAATAATAATAACTAGGTTTAGGGGGGGAAGGGGACTGTTAGTACTGTGGACTGATGATCTTATTGCAATGTACCATGCCAGGCTGACCTCCACGCGATTCTATATATATAGTTATGAAACTATTATACATATAACACATTTCTAAAGTGATAGGCAATGCATAATTCTAATAGTGTTATTTTTAACACTTCAGCAAGACAAGAAAGTAGGCAAAAAGGAGGCCAAAGCAGACAGTTCTGATTCAGACTCTGATGATGAAGACCAGCTTCAGAAATTCCTGGAGGGTGAAGACATTGATGCGATTCTGGTGAAGTCAGTGACAAGTAAGGTGTTGTAGTAACCTTTTTCGTGTTTATTAATAATACTGCACTAATATCATAAACAGGAAAGATTTGTGTGTTTGTAATTTTTAATCTCAAAAAGACAACATATATCTACAGATATGATATATTTGTGGATATGTACAAACATATATCATATCTGTATCTATATTAAATGTAATATGATGTGACACTTTTCTATGGATTACGTGCGGCCTTTACGGCCCATTAAACAAAGCAGTGGAACAGTGACATTTACCGCGGCGACGCGCGTTGGTTCACGATAAAAATCATGTTTATTTCGATTACCGGCACGAGAGTGTTATCTGTTATCAGATGCGACACGCGGCACGACAATTACTTAAATAACTTACCCCTCGAACGCTATCACTTAACTAATAACGATTCATTCACATCGTATGTGTGTACAGAGCTTCTCAAATACCTATATATAAAGGGATTGTTAGTAATGTGGACTACAACTGCTATAAATACCGAAATACATTGTTTTAAATATACATAGGAAGCACCCAGGCCAATACAAACAATCATACTCACGAATACAAATGTTTGTATCGTGGCAGGAATCAAACTGCAACCATCCGAAATAAGGCGGTGCGCTAAACCGCTAAACCACCAGGGTCATCATATACAAATTATTTTGACTTTGATATCAGTATCTTCTAAGAGCGTTCATAAAAAAGTAACATATCTGCAGTATTTCCCAAATATACAATCTACAGTCGTACTCCAATATACCCATTTACAAATGGCCGTTTGTTAACTCAACACTTTGACAACCACTGTCGCGTGTAGCAGGTTAAAATAGTGACATTACAGACAAAGCTCGCAGTAATTATTGTTGTTTGATTTAAAAGCAATTGTAGTGGTACAGAGATTATTCGTCGTGCACATGTGAAAAGTAGGTATACGTTTACTTGGAAAAAAATATTAGTTTAGTTGAGTTACAGTTTTTATGTGGAAAATTCTTTATACCTAAAGATAGATCCTCTGGTGAGAGATTGTTACTCACTAAAAAACTACATGGTGTGGGAGCCAGAGTCACAAGATCGCGTTCAGTTAAACCAAACCCTAAAAGTAAAGAACAATATTTAGATGTATATGAATGTATAAGGATAATTTACTATTTTTCGGTAAGTTTAGTTTGGTTTAGTTTATTACTAAAGTTATTATTTCATACAGTTTTTTTATATTGTAGCAGTTTTGTACCTATAGAATCCATTAACCTTACTACAGATAACAGAATTTAGTACTTATATATTAAACGAAATTTCTTATTTATTTAAAACATATATAAAACTTACAAAGTACTTAAGAGAACCCGGGCGAAACCTTTACCGATGTTATATATATGCCTACTTTAAATAAAAAAATGAAAAGGTAGACATATTTTATCTGTACCTACTTCTTGTGGTTTCAGCGCTAGTAAATTGTTTTGTTGAGGCATTTACCTTCCAAATTGAATGAATTGGTTTTCAAAAATTTACTTTCAGGCTAAAAGTTAAGGTCGACTATCCAAATTGTTAGTTAATAGGCATAATTTGTTAATAAACGTATGATATGTCCCGTCTACATTAATAATCTGCATAGAACACATTTATAAACTATTCAACATCGGTTCCGTATAATTATTAAGGCAACTGCGCGCCACTGTCACATAATACCCTTGTTGTTAATAATAAATAGGTGTCTCCATGTCCGATTAACACACATCCAATGTCGCGTGCATAACCGATATAAAATATTGAATCAGTGCTTTTTGCGATTAAAAATAATTACATAAACTTATGCTAGAGCAGAAAGAAAACCGTCACGATTTACAATAATAAAATTAAAAAAAACAAAGTCTTGTTTATGTCTGTTGCACTGTATGTTACAGATAAAGTATATTCTATCTTCTATATATCCATTTCAAATAAGTACTAAATTAAAAATTTGTTACTATTATAACCAGACCATCATAAATTTCCCGCCTAAAGGCTGTGTTGTTACACAAAAAAGTAATAAGTAGGTAAAGGACAGCCTGTATGTATATCTGAATCGCAGAAGCACATATAAGATAATATTACATAATAAAAGTATGGGCAAAGATAGAGAAACCTTTTAAAATTAGAATTGGCATAGATAAGCAGTAGGTTATAGGTATTTATTACTTCTATAAATTTGATCATATATCTAAGTATCGTAACAAAGCACCAAAACAGGTTGTGTTTTTAATTTCTGCATTAATTTTAATTTTACCTACTTGATCAAAAAAGAAGAAAAATCGGGATACTTTACTTTTTTTTCTTTTCTAGACTATAAGATTAGATAGGTATGTATTTATTTTAATTCATAAATCCTTGTCTGAACAACTAAAGCCATAGAAAGTTGTCTCTTTGGTATATTTACTTTACTCTTTGGTTGTCTCCCAAATAATCGTTTACAGAGTACTAGGCACAGATCAAAAGATCTACTTCTTTTATGTGTGGTAATAAGCATTAGTCAATTAGAATTTCTTAATAAAAATTTTGAATTTATTAAAAGGCAGATCGAAAATCTCCTTCAGTATCAAATTTTAAATTTTATTGTCATTTTCATTTATTAAATCCATCTAAACGAAATTTGCCTGAAAGTTTATATTTGTATTTAGTATTGTGGTTATAACAATCATTATTTTAGAGAAAAATACAAGGAGGGTCCGCTTGGAGGTCGACCTTATATGTACTAATTGATAGCAATGAAGCCACTGGTTATCTGCCCTCTTTTTGGTTTAATTTGGATTGATAGAAATAAAATTTGTTTTCTATTTTCCTAATTTAACAAGAAAAAAAGCTTGAGGTCCTTGTCCGAATATCCTTGGCAAAAGATTGGTATTAATATTATGTCATAAAATATAATATATTTTTTTTTTAATATAACTTAATGGATCTATGGTTCGAATAGGGTGGTAGAACTGCCAGAAGGTAAATATAGAGGCGTGTGTCTGAACAGCAAAATTAATGTTCCGCACATTCTGCCACCAATAAAACCGTCCAAATGCCAACTCCCAAGCGCGGTAAATAAAAAAAAAAGTAAATGTCACCTTGACATTTAAGTCGCTCTGCGGGGCGCCCAACACTCGAAACACAGAAATTTAATTTTGATAACATCGTTTGTCAGTGTTCTAGTTTCACATAATTTGATTGTTGTTTGTTGAATAAAGCATATGAATTATATATGAGGAACCGTTGTCAACGTAATGGTCTTTTGTTTTAATAAAAGGGAACACGAATTTCTATCGTTTTGTTTAATTTCATAGTTTTTATAAGGCATAAGTACCGAATTTCATCAAATGTATATAGATACTTCGTCTGTACTTTTAATATAAATGTATTTGTATAAATAATCTTATATAACCGTGAACTTCCAATATTTTTACCATGTATTATCGTATTGAACGTAGACAAAAAAATATCTCAAATTGACAATTGTTTTTCGACTTTTTCACAAGGTTTTTTTTTGTCATAATAGCCCATATCTATGTTATTTAGATGTATAAAGCTATATCTAACGTTTTTTTTTTTTTATCAAACTCTGATTAATAGTTTTTGGGAGAGCAATAAACATCTATCCTTGCATCCACAGATCAGAAACATAAATTTATTTAATTGAATAATGCTAATTGGTAGTTTGTATTCACACACTTAAACTTAAATTGTAAAGTAAGAATAAAATTATTTAAAAGAGGAACACACAAGTTTCTTGCTCGTTCTTGTGATGAGACAGCTTTCCGAATGAGCGGTAGATTAAAAATGTGATGACTATTCAAAAGTGCTTCAATGTAAGTTTATTTGAATAAATGATTTTCTATTCTATTCTATTCTGTTCTATGCTTTTTCCGTGAGCAGATATCATAAATACATAGAATAGGAAAATAACTAACTTACAACTCTGTTCTGTGTATACATGCAAACAAAATATCGTCTTTTATTGGCATTGATAGTTCAGTCAATTTTTTATAAATAACTGTAGTATTGGAATTTAAATAAGAGTTTCATTATATAATAGCGGAGTCGTTCTATTGAGGGAACTCTTGCAAACAATTCTTCAGGAATTAATAGTTATATTATTTTGTTTAAATCCGCTACAATTAGCATGTATGAGATCACAAATATTCAGTGCGGAAACTTGACTACCGTTACGAACTTCTCTAATGGTGATCAAATTCCGACCGTTATTGTATCTACACCTATATAGCAAAAACAAAATAATATAATTCAATTAAATAGTGAAATGTACGTCCGCAAAATAACACTTAAATCGATTATATAAATTTCTCAGGACCTGAGGAGAGGAAAATGAAATTATATTAAGAAACGCGTAAATATAAT